ACTAATTTCTGGAATCATTCCCGTAGGCGATGGGATTTTACTCCGAGCGACCCATGATGGCGACGACAATGATGAAGGTGAACATGAAGAAAATGATTTTCATTATTCTTGTTATTGTTAGTGTATGTTAGTGCTATTGTTATTTTTAGGAATTTGATTATGATATACTATGATTCACTACTGTATGTGCATTATATTTAAGATATGGGGGTTTCTCAAAATGGGGGTGCCCCAATAGCTGGAGGGTTTATAATCGAAAATCAATTTACCACCTGGTTATTTAACATAGCCATGGAAAATCACCATGTTTAATAGGTAAACCATCTATTTCTATGGGCCATCTATACCAATGTTTAATAGGTAAACCATCTATAAATGGGCCATCTATACCATGGCTATGTTAAATAACCAGATGGTCTAAATGGATGATAACTGGGGGGTACCGCTATGGAAACCTCCATGGATCGCCTCACCTTGGGTGGATCCACAGGAATCAAGGACAGCAGCCGTGGCACGTTCAGCCGTGACACGTCGCCCCTTGGAGCCAAAAAGGATCCCGGAGGATCCCACGGATTGTTGCACCGGGGTCGTACCATGGTAAACTCACATAGCGAACTGAAAATCACAATCTTTAATAGGTGAATTAACTATAACTGGGCAATTTTCCATAGCAAACACTTAAATTACCAAAGGGTACATCCAAATACCAGGGTTAAACCATGGTTTAATGGAAATTACTGGGATTCTATATGGTGATTAACAAGGTTATTTTGATATCAGTCACAAAAGTGGCTGGGTGTGGGTTACCCACAGAACTAAGAAATTAAGGACATTAATCAATAAGATTGATTCTGCTGGTTACTAGCTGGGGATTCACGGTCAATTACCCATAACTGGGGAGCATAATGGCGATCATAAACCAATTTGTACATTGTAGGGCTATAACAGGCACACAGTCAGACCTGGCAAGGACAAAGGGGTACCTTTTCTGCCTGGTAACTGGTAGCTCCCTAAAATCTACTGGAGCCCCAAAATCATGAGATACAAAAAGAAAAGAATCAGTAATGAAAGTTCTTGTTGGTTAAATATAGTTAAATACAGTTACCTATATATATATATATATTATATATATGTATATATATATATTATTATATACATGTGTATATATATATATATATGTATGGGTATTTCACTTTTTTAAAACCCTTCCTTTCACCATGTTTGCCCAAAATCATCCCCAGGTCTCCCACGGTCGCGGTCCGTCATCGCCATGACGCGTGGATACAGACAGCGTCAGCGATGCACAGAGCGCCTTGAAGGCCTCAGGGGTTCGAGCAGCACTGCCCAGCTGCGGCAGCAGCGGCTCGAAGGCCTGGCCGCTGTTGGTGATCTGCCCCCGTTTTGCGAAAAAACTGAGTTGGTGAACGTAACTCGTGAATTCTAGGGTTTATGATACAGTATATATATATATTTGATAATATATATATATATAAGTATATATATAAATATATATACGGTATATATATATATACAGTATATATACAGTATATCTACCTGCATCCTCCAGGGGCTGTGGAATTTTAGACCCTTGCTTGATTATAGCCCCTTGGATCAGAGAGTCTGAAAAAAAATCTGGGGGGCAGAACATGGCAGAGCTGATGATTTGTAACCCATGGCATCAATATCAGGGGTCCACCGCCTCCCACCTGCAAGGCGCCAGTATGGGCAGGGGCTCAAAGGAGAAGGGCCGCATGGCCCATGGTTTGGATTTGGCTTATTAGCATGAAGGGGTAGCAACAACAAAAAATTCTGAAAACAAAAACAATTTTACCCTGCTGGCAATTTCTTTGTCAGATGGAAAGAAACTAAACCAATAACTGGGAGGGGTTCACCTGGAATGATCTGGGTGCATCCAGGAAATCGATCGTATGGAACACATGAAACTCCTGAATCTTGCGGTCGTATGACACAAGTCTGACAGAATATTGTCAGCTCTGGAAGTTTAAACACAAACTTGTGATGTATGATTGAGGGAGCGACACACTTTGAGTTTAATGGTTTTTGTTTGGAACCCGATCTGACAATCCCTTTCCCCTGCACCCCCCACCATGATTTGGTAGGGGATTCACACGTATTTGGGACCATTAGGGTGGTGTTTAATGTTAGGATACGTTAGGGGGATGGGATCACATACTAATTGATATCCATCAATATTATCAATATTCCGCTGAAGGTGATTATATCATTGATATCCCTTACCATCTGGTTATTTAACATAGCCATGGAAAATGGCCCATGTTAAATGTTAAATAGGTAAACCATTTATAAATGGGCCATTTTCCATGGCTATGTTAAATAATCAGAGGGTAATATCATTAACATCCATTCTATCTCTCCATCGCCTTCTCGACGAGTTCGGCTAAGCTAAAGGCGAGTGAACAAAACAACCGCTCCACCAGGGTATTAACACCATTAGGGAATGGAATTATACATTCTTTACTGCATACCATCTAGTTAATTATCGTAGCTATGGGAAATCGTTTGAAAGGTAAATCATCATAAATCATCCATTAATTGTCAATTTTCCATAGCAAACAGTGAAATAACCGGAGCGTATATCCCCATTATCCATTATTCATCCAGTAATGTTGGATGTTTCCCCATTATGTTCCTTCCGTTTTCCTACTATTAACCATGATTAAAGAATTGAAAACTGATAGTAATCCCCAAAAAGATCCAAACATTACAATATAACATCCTACTAACATAGTGATAATTTTCCATTATTAAACATTACTCAGGACTATTTGCCATGATTATTGAGCGTCAAAAAACGATTACCGTAGAGGTTGAAAAACCGCCCGAACCTCCACGGGTAAAAACGGCGACAACGCCGCGCTGGCAGCCGCCACCTGAGCCGTTGGCGAAGTGCTTCGGAAAGTGGGCAGGAACCTTAGATGACACAGGTTATTTTAATTTATAATATCTTATAATATCTCAGGGTACTTAAATATAGTAAGTTATAATATCTTATAGAGAATATTATATAACACATGTTATTTTCAGGTTATGTTAACTATAAGAGGTAATTTAACTAATAGACACTAATACTTGAGTACTAGTAGTCACTTAGATGTCACTGGTTATTTTTCCGCAGGTTACTTATAATATCTTATAATATCTCAATGTAACTGACAGTAATGCCATTGCTCGATATATCACAAGTTATTTTGACAAACTTACTATAAATCTATAACCAGCTAGATGATTAACTCAATTGCCCATCGAGGCAATCGTTGGCTTCCGTGGTAGGAAAAGGGGAAATGTTGGTTCAAATCCCCTTGAAATTGAAATATAGTATTTTTGTCGAGCTGATTCATCCTCCAGGGTAAAAAGGAAGAAATATCCAAGACAACCAGGCAGAACCCTAGACACGTGCATCAAGTGGCAGCTTGCGCGCTCAAAGTCGCGTCGGGGCGTTGCAAAAGGTCCCCAAGTTGTTCCTGATTGGCAAAAGAAGTGGATGTGCCTGCTCGATAAGGGGCCCAAAAATCATCTGAAATAGGTCATGTTTACTATAGGGAAAGCAATGGTTTTGGCACACCTAAGAAACCATATGAAACCACCCATTTTTTCTGTCGGATTTAGTGACTGGACCACTGGAAGAGTGACCTGAGATGGGCAGAAGGGGACGGCCACCGCTGTCCAAGCAGCGCGCCCCTGATCCACGTCATGTTGATGCAATCGGTCTACAATCTACAATTACTTTCATACACATGCTGAGCTTTTTTGATCAGGCGTTTTCGATCGCTTTAACCAATCCTTAACCAAAGCCAAGAATGACTCATCCTCCCATTTCTTTGTTTGTTGCAACCACCAGCCGCAAAGCCCCATGGGTACACGTGTTGCCACGGAGACTCCGCCAGTGGCTGACCCAGTTGCTGTGGGCGATGCTCCGGATCTCGAAGGAGCCGCACCAACAAGGCACAGAAGATCTGAAGTTGTCGGCTGCTGCTCGGATACCTCCCGAAAGGAGCCCATGGGTTGCACCGTTTCCCAGTGAAACAGTGTTGGTGTTGGCATTGTTGTTGGTGCTGTTGTTGTTGTTGTTGTGGTGGTCGTCGTCGTCGTCGTGGTTGTTGTTGTTGTTGTTGGTGGTGGTGGTGGTGGTGGTTGTTGTTGTTGCTGGTGTTGTTGTTGTTGTTGTTGTTGTTGTTGTTGTTGTTGTTGTTGTTGTTGTTGTTGTTGTTGTTGTTGTTGTTGTTGTTGTTTGTGTTGTTGTTGTTGTTGTTGTCGTTGTTGTTGTTGTTGGTGGTGGTGGTGGTGGTGTTGGTGTTGGTGTTGGTGTTGTTGTTGTTGTTGTTGGTGCTGGTGGTGCTGGTGGTGGTGGCGGTGGTGGTGGTGTTGCTGCTGCTGTTGTTCTTGGAAATTATGGAACTTCTATGAGCTCATGTAACATCCTGACAGTAAAAAGCGAAACGACCATTAAGAGACACAATGATCACAATATGATAACCATGGTTCAGTGGAACTATGTGGAATTGCTGAATATGCATATATATATATATATAGATCAACACGTTTAACTAGACAACTCACCAGTTGCACGCACTTCTACCAGTCCTATGCCTGTCCTGGTATCAAATCATACCAAATATCAAATCTACCCTGCACCAGTGGCTTCACCGATATCCTTGACTTTCATATTCTTCATGAAATCAGGTCTTCCCCCAGAAGTTTAACCAGTGGTATCCCTAACGTGATTGAAATCCCAAGCTTCTGTGGCTCCAACTTCTCCCAGAACATCCCTACCTGACAGCCACCGCCAAGAGCTCGAAGATGCCCTGCGAGACCAAGAAGCGGCGGATGGCGCTGGAGGCCTCGAAGCGCACAAAATAGTCATGGATCCAAGGTGTTCCAAGATGCTCCAGGAAGAATTGTCTTCTTTCTCGCAGTTCCAGTTCAATTTTAGGGGATGTATTCATATGTAGTCCAACTAAAAAAGGCGGTGGAACCAATGAACATTGGATTAAAGTTTTTAAAGCATCAATTGGAACTTGGCTGTCTCTGGTCCAAGCCAACTCGTAATTTCAACCCCTTAGGAGTCATTTGAGATCATCGTTCGACTTCAGTTGCTGTTGCGGAGCCCACATGACCAAAATGGTTCAGATTCATCCAAACTGGGCATTTTGCGTGCTATGTATTTCCTAGTTAATCCCTGAAATGTGCTTCATTTTGCGGAAGGTACTCTGAAGATCTTAAAAATCAATGGTGACGCACGGTGACGTCAGCTGGGGAGCTTTCGCATCAGCAATTTGTCCAAATCCAGAGCCCAGAAACACAAAGCACCATCAGCACCATGGCAGAGATCTCCGCATCTGATAGCTCCTGGGCCACAAGGTGACCCCAGCAATCAGCTTGGACAAATGACCGCTGAATAGGCGACGAACCGGCCCCCGACACCTCAATCAACATCATCCCGTTGAGTTACCCTCTGGTAAATTGTCCCATAACTATGGAAAGATCCACCATTTTTCATGGGAAAATCCACTATTTCTATGGCCATTTTATGATCATCTCATTGAAAACACCAAGGTTGCCCGGTTGCCCCTTCGATCCTCCATGGCTTCACCACGACGCTCCGCCAGCGAGGACGAATCCGCCAGCAATGCCAGCAGGGAATGGATGCCTTGCACGGTGGCGTTCGCAAATGGGGTGAAAAATGGTGAAAAACTCTGCCAAAAATCAAAACACGGTGATGATCATTTGCGTACTAAAAAAAGGGCAATACAAGGTGGTGCCCCATAGATAGCTAAGTTGGTTTATAAGTCCAATAACTATGGTTTATACGTGTTAAGTGTTATATCCAATAGTTAATGGGAATATAACCCATTTATAACTGGGGGGGCACCACCTTGCCGTTGAATCACCAAAGTTCGAATTCACTTTTTGATCATAAAAACTCTCCGTAGCAATACTTGTGAAAATTGCCGATGTCTGAAAAAAAAACAAACCCCGAACTTGTTTTTCAGGGAGACCCTACAGGAACCCCCATATTTCATGGATTTTCATGGTAACATCCCGTGGTTTCCTTGTTTTATAACCTTGAAACAATTTGTCGAAACACTCCCGGCTGACCCAAACCTCCAAGTTGAAGCACTCGGATCATGTTGAAAGGATGCCTTGGCTGATCTGATCGGGCCGGCCCTTGGAAAGTGAGATTCCAGCCACTGGTTTCTATATAATTCACATATATCATATATATATATATATATGTCAATATCAATATATGTCAATATATGTCAATATATGTCAATACCCATACATGTCAATATATGTCAATATACGTCATATTCACATGGCCAGTCATCATGATATATTCATTCAAATGGCCAAGATTTTGGGGGCATATCCATGGTAGAAACCATGTTCAGATACACCACCATCCTATCGAGATGACAGGTGCTCGATCTGAAGGCACCGTCACCTGCAAACTTGCCACTGACAACGGGTGATTGAACACGGTCTGCTCAAGACTCCTGATATCTCCTGATGATGGCTTACTCATGAACAAATGGATCACTGCTCAGATGTGCTAAAAATACGACAGTACAGCAAGGTCTAAGTCAAACATCAGCCATTTTTGGGATGATCCCCCCCATTCATCACCGGATCCGAAAGATCCACCAAGGGACGTGGCACAGAGCGGCAGCAAAGCAACTGCGCAGGACACATCTTCTCTCAGCCTGACCCCGGTTGGGAACCCTCTGGTAACAGTTTGCTATTGAAAATTGCCATTTATAGTTGCTTTACTCATGAAAAATGATGGTTTTCCATAGCTATGTTAGTTTACCAAATGGTAATTGGAGTTCTGGGATCGCCGTTGCGCCGATATAGCCCCCATGTTTTCAATTGTTTTTTGGGCGAATTTGTGAAAACCACCGCCTAGCAATGGTTCGCACCAGTGGGTCGTGCTGATCTTGACCTCGTTGCCGGTAGCTGTGAGGTCATTGCAATTCTTTTGTGCGTCAAACATAAACGATACCCTCTATGGAAAATCATCATGTTTAATGGGAAAACTCACGATCAATGGCCATTTTCAATAGCAAACTGTTCGTTTACCAGAGGGTATGTGAGTTCAGCCCTGATGAAATCAAAAAATGAGCTAATCAAAATGGTGGTTTTCACTAACTCCGTATCGCGATTGATCCAAACAATCCTTACATGGACCTTTAACGTCCATAGGGGTGCCACCAAGGTAAGGTTAGTGGTATCTGGTGGCGCTTGGGCCGACTAACAGTTCGATATTGAACATGGCAAGTTATAGCATTTTATAGTTTATCTACCTATGAAGAATGGTAATGAATGTTCCATAGCTATGTTAAATTACCGGAGGGTATATGACTTCACTAATGACCATCTCTCTCTGTCTCACTGTCTCTCTCTCTCTCTCTCCATTGCCATCTCCAGGAGTCTAGCCAGAAAGGCTGAAATTCATGACCATTGTAGATCCATGTAGCCACATATTATATGTGGAACTGCACCCCAAAACATCTGCAAATGATTTTGCAATAAACATATTCCATTTATCGTGGCCCATCCAAAATTGGGGTTCATTTCACATCCCAATAAGTGCATGAACCCAAGTTCATTATTGGGTATGTATGCCGTGTACGGTAATTATAACCCAAGAATAGGCCTTAATTGGGGATGGTTTATATGATATTCCCATTCATCACTCCCAGTAATCCTTCATCACCTTTGACCTTTCCTTTCTGGGCCTTCCATCCGTTTCCGTCTCGCAAAACCCAAGGCGCTTCGCGCAAAGCTTCGCACGCTGCTGGTGGTCAACACCTGGTTTACTCATGACTTTTGAGGATTCTAGCACATCGAGGCATCCGTATAATAATTTATGTTGCTGTGTGTATATCCATGTTATATGTTCATCCTTGACACAACTGCATATACGATATGCCTAACATGCAAATATATTACTAAACAAGATCTCAAGCAATTCTATAATTAAGTTATGGTATACGTGATAGCTGGATGGGTGGGTTATGGGGTATCGGAAAAACATTAGGTATACCCGGAAAATGGAATGCCAAACAACCACTACGGTCCAGAAACTATAGCATCTATAGTTCCCAGTTTCCAAGGTGTTTTTTTTGTACCAACCATTTGATACTACGGTCATCCCAGTCCAGAAATCACATCAACTAAATGAAATGAATAACATTTCAGACAGTGAATATGACGGAATGTATGTAGCATGTAGCCAACATAGCCAACATATTTATATACACAGTGTGTGTATAAATGAATAAATAAATATATATATATATGCATATTATACTGTATATATAATTATAACTATGTGCATATAGTATCATATAGTTATATCTATTGTCGCTGCACAAATGTTTGCAAACACTTCCAAATAACAGTCACCAGCAATTTCCAAAAGCCGGATTCCAATCCTATCCTGGGCCCGGCCCCTGCCTCTGGTGGAAGCTCATAGCAATCTGCCAGATGAAGGACTCCGCTTCGACTGCTGCTGCTCCATCCTCGGGCCTGGCTGTGGCGAGCATCGGCGTCAAGCAGCTTGGCACATTTGATCACGTCGGATGACACCGGAGGGCAGTTAAAGGCTTACGCCTGACAGCCGGGCGCCGGCCAAGGCCAAGCAATCTTGGCACCATGTTGGCCCCATGTTGGGCCTATGTTGGCCTATGTTGGGCCTATGTTGGCCCATGTTGAGCCATCTTGGGAGCTATGTTGGGGCCATGTTGGGGCCATCTATGTTGAAATGATCTTAAGATGCCAATTGTTCCGCCCCGGGCCCCCTCCTGGAGCCCAAAACCACGTAAACCGAGGTTTTGTAACATCGCCAAGATGAAATCCCTTGCTGCCAAAGGGCCCGAAACACCGTAAAAAAAACATTAAAACACCATGTTTTTTAAACCGCAAGCAAAATACACCGTAAATTACAGGGACTTGAGTCGACACGGAGTCCTACTGGGGTGAACTGGGGGTGGGTCGGCGGCAGGGCCGGCAGCGCCTATAACCTTCGGTTACCACCGAAGGCCTCCGGCAAGGACACGGGCTGCGTGGCCGGCGCCCGGATTCCCATTAACATCCCCACGGTTACCATGGTTGTTCCTTAAATCCCTATTAATTAATCCTATCCCCCGAATATTGAACAACCCCATACTGTGGTCCCAAATGTCCGTAAATCCGCTACCAAACTATCTTTGACGTTTTTTGTTCCCGATATTTGGGGGATGGATTGATCACCATAAAATCTCATTAATAATTAAACCAGCCGTGGGTTCAATTCCCTAAATTCTTGTTCGCAACTGCCTCCGCCCCAGGAAGAGCCAAGGACCTCGAAGTCTTCCATGGCACTCTCCGCAACGAGATGAAGCTTCACCCGATCCTGGTTGGTCACCTGGGGCGAATGAAAGCAATGCGCGCAAGATGCAAAACATCGGTGAATCATCGGGATATAAATAACTAAATAAATGCATATATTACATGATCATTTATATTGTATAATCTATGATCATTTATGATATTTAGATTTTAATGGCGTACAAGAATAATCAATCATCAAAAATCACAAAAATGTTTTTTAGGATTCCATTATTTGACCATTAACCATCATTCCAGTGACGTCGCAGTGAGGCCGTTATAATTCGTCCAGAAGTAACAACGACCCCCCAACAGATCCTGACTCTACAAATGGTGCCCTCATCTCACCCCCTTGCAGGCTCATTAGAATACACCCCCATGTGGGCCCTCAAAATGACAAGGCTGCCAGTACTATGCCAGTACCAAGTTACTAAGCCAATACTTTCTGGTTGTTATTTTATACTAGTGGGAAAAAGATTGCAAAATAGAAGTGGTCATGCAACGATCACATCAAACATATGATTCATATGATGAAGACATATGAAGACTGACAGTTTCACCCACCAATATCAACAGTCCAACTATAACTAGCACGCAGCTAGCACGCAGCTAGTACGCAGCTAGCACGCAGCTAGCACGCAGCTAGCACGCAGCTAGCCCTCGCAATGCCTGTAGGTTGGACCTGTTGGTCCCTCTGCGCCTGGTATTTCATGTGCAACTTTGGCAGGATGTGACCCGGGAAGCCGAAGTCCTTCAAGCAAACCTCCAGCATTCTGCTGCACAGGTCGTGGGGTACTTGGTGAATTGGTAGGTTTAATAGGTTGGTTAAGTTATAACGCAAGTTCTTCCAGCAGGGATAGTTATAGGATTTGTCCAGTTATAACTGGTCAGAAGTCAGAACCCACCTGCTGACTGGGTTAAACCACCAAGTAAACACATCTTCCAAACTACACGCCAGCAATTTAGAAAAGGTGACTTTGTCGATATGGTTACATATCACCCCAAACAGAAACAACGGACTCCCTTCGGCTTTTCCCTCCCACAATTTAACATAGCGATGCTTTACCTATCAAACATGTTCGTGGATTTTCCATAGCAATGTTGAATAATTTGCCTGTTGTCACCCCCTCTCTCTCTGTCTCTCTCTCTCTCTCTCCAATATTTTGGATTGGTACGTCCCAGGTTCACCAAAAAAAAAAACGCCATATGTTCCCCAGTTTGTCCGCGAATGGGTCGATCCGATTGTCAGAGGTCAAACATCTTTGCTTCAAACCGAAACCAATGCTGACCCCCCAAGAAAAGGTGATGTTTTAGGACAATAATCTTAGACCAACTAGCCATGAAAAAGTGCAAGAGTCCCAAAACTCCTCGGTGTCTTATCTTATTCTGACTAGGTACTTGGAGGTTCCAGGAGGTTCTATTCCATGGTACTCCCGCCATCAGCCCCCGATCTTTTCTCAAGCTGGGGTGTGCCTCGCCAGTGAGAAATTCAGACAACGCAATGTGCGAGCAACGGATGTCCTGCACGTGGACACTGCGGTGGCATGGGCATCTATAACGGGATGTGGTAAAATCACGTAACATCCAAGTGTCCTTTGATAATCAAACATGCCTGGTTGGGAAATCTGCAGAAATCCCTGAGCTAAAAGACATGTTAAGGTTTTAATGAGTTTAATGCAAGCATCAACACTGGTTGATTAATTTGCGGGGGGTGGGGTGATAATTGGCTACTGAAATGGTACCCCCACGATTAAACAGCCTGGTGGTCTGTTAATCCGGGAATGACATTCAACGAGATTTTACAATGCAATGTTTGACTATCGGAAGGCAACCTCAAGTTTTGGGGGTGTAAAATATTGCGTGCAATGTGGTGCATAGTGTGGCATTTGTAGGTGTATGATGGTATATGTATATATACATGTATATTTAGTATTATTATCATTATCATTATTATTAATCATGATTATTATTTTTAATATTACATATATATATATATATATATTGCATAATAATGTGGCATCTACAAGGTACCAAGCCTTTTTTTTAGGTCCAGCTGGGGTCCCGGTGGATCAGCCCATTTCCCCGTCCTGAAAGGCAGATGCCAGCAGGTCGCCAAGGACACCTTGCTGTGGAACCAAGGAAGACAGCTCCAGACCTCATCGTTCAGCTGTCGGAACAGCTGGGACAGGCTTACTTTGGGCGATTTTGGAACAGGTTTTTTCGTATAATTGAGCACTGAAAAACACACCAAAATCTGCTGGCATGTCAATGTTCATTCCCACTCGGATTTGTTTACAATTCTGAGATCATTTACGATAATAATTTTAACAATTATGTATGGTGAGGTCAGTCAGTGAAGTCATAAAAAGTATGGTGATGCTTTTCCCTCATGGCCGAGGGATCCCCACAATGTCTGCCACTCATTTATAAACCCATCTAATTATGGAGGTATCTACCATCAACCACAACTAGCCTAGTCATATATGTGTATATATATATATATTATATATATATAGCCTGGTTATACACCAACTGTTCCAAAAAAACATGAACCAAAACTAGTTTAACAGCTTCATACCAACTATTCCCAAACAAAACAACAATAAATCCATGTTTTTCCTGGTTTTAGTTCCCTGATGCATCACCATTTAAACCCAAGCCGCAGCTGGCAGCATCCTCTGCTGTTTTTGCCAGCTGTAGAAGGGAGGAGAGCTGATCATGAGCTGCACCTGCAGGACTGGGATCAAACAAGATGGTCTTTAATATTTAATGGTTTATGTGATTTCACCATGCTTTAACCATGATTCATGGTTTATCGTGTTCCACTCTTCAACATTATAAATGGTGTTTAATGGTGTTGAAGTAACTATAGTGCTTAGTGGTGTCTGATGGGTTTTCTGGAGGAAAACCATCCCCTCCTCCCGTTGCGGGGGCCCCACCTATTGCTGGATCATCGGCTGGACCGCAAATCACCACCTTCAAGGCCTCTGGAACTCGAACACGGCAAGAGAGACATTGGAAAATTATCCAGATACCATGGGTAAATACCACCCAAAAATGGTGAATACCACCAAAACATGGTAAATAGTCCAGCTATATATAGTCCCTCCCAATATCACCAAAAACATGGTACTGTAAATGTATTGAGAATTGAAACACAATTTTTAGGGGTACTTGGAGGGTCTAAGTAGAATCTAAAATGGATACAACTGGGTTATGATTCTTCATGATGGAATAGAAGGGAAGGCAAGTTAAATTGGACCTTAAATCAAAAGTGAGAAAGTCCGAGATAGTTGAAGTATCTTAAAATAAACAATCAACATATCAGAGAAAAGGCTTCGATATGTAAGGTCACATGATATTCACCCGTGCAATGGCGCCATCATTCCCGACCTCTTGTCCTTGTAAAGCTGGAAGCAAGGTCTGCAACAAGGGCTGCGGACCCGAAATCTCTCGGGTCTCCAGAAACGCCTGGGATGGTTCAGGGTCTAGCAGCATCTCCGACTGGCACTATTCAGAAGCATGTACTTTATAGATGGGTTCAACTCTCACAACCATACTGAGCCTGGTTTATGACCATCCAATTTTCCAATGCTGAGCGCGCTGGTCCGTGTTCAGTAGCAAATTAAACAAAACACTGGGCAGAAGCTGAAGCAGCCGCTGGATGGATACCAGGATTCCATTGTTTTCCGCATATCATATGGGTCAAACGTGGTCAACCCCCCAGTATAGTATGATATAGCAGCTGTTCATCCATCCCCCAAGAAATAAACCATCAAAACCTAAATCATCCAAAAATGGAATATCTACGTATCCCCAACTGATGAGATGAATAGTAAGGAATCCCAAAAGCTATCAAGAATGTGGAATGCTAAATCGTAGTTTTTTTTTCAGCATTTAAAATCATGTCCCTTGAACCTTGGAGGGTTCATCATCATTTTCTCTAACCAAACTGAGCAGTGCCAGATGCCATTGGAGAATCCTAGAAACAAATGGTTGGTAAATGGGGATCCCCAGCTCAGGGACTTTTATAATCCTCAAGATATTGAGCCCCTAAAGACCATCAGCCAACCATCAGTTATCAATATCCTAATTTTGGATGATTAAAACCACCTCAGTGATTGGTAGATTCCCAATTGAATTACTAAATATCCCAGCATATCCCAGCATATCCCAGCATATCCTCATTATGGCAATATTCATCAGCCAACCAATATAGACGCCGGTAAATAAACTAACTTCATTATGGTTTTTGACACTAGGGGCTCACTGTTCTATATCTTCATGAAAGACCCCTACTATGAAATTTCCATCGCGGCCTGGGCCCCTGGGTGGTTTTTCAATTGTTGAACCAAACGAATCCCAAATGATTGAGGTTCCCATTGGAACCCTTAAGAAACACAGGCTCCATATGATCCAGGTTCTTGGTATATCAAAATCCTATCAACTCCTTATTTAAAAAAACTATTCCATTAAAAAAAAATACTTTACTTCGTGTGATCCCCACCATGACATTTATACATTTTCTTACTGGCAAATCTTCTGGCATTCTATCTGACATATCTTCTGACATTCTATTTGACATTCTATCTGGCATATCTTCTGGCATATGATCTGGCATATCTTCTGGCATATCTTCTGGCATTCTATCTGGCAAATCTTCTGGCATTCTATCTGGCATATCTTCTGGCACTCTATCTGACATATCTTCTGGCATTCTATCTGGCATATCTTCTGGCATATATTCTGACATATATCTTCTGGCATTCTATCTGACATATCTTCTGGCATATATTCTGACATATCTTCTGGCATATCTTCTGGCATATCTTCTGGCATATCTTCTGACATATCTATCTGGCATATCTTCTGACATATCTATCTGGCATATCTTCTGGCATATTTTCTGGCATTCTATCTGGCAAATCTTCTGGCATTCTATCTGGCATTCTATCTGGCATATCTTCTGGCATATTATCTGGCATTCTATCTGGCATATCTTCTGGCATATCTTCTGGCATATCTTCTGACATTCTTTCTGACATTCTTTCTAACTTTCTTCTGCACATTCTTTGTCCCATATCTTCCTACATGAGGTCCGGCAGGGAACACTTGGCGTGGATACTCGCGGTTGAGGTCCGGCAGGGAACACTGGGCGTGGATGGTCGTGGTTGAGGTCCGGCAGGGACCACTGGGCGGGATGGCCGTGGTTGAGGTCCGGCAGGGAACACTGGGCGTGGATGGTCGTGGTTGAGGTCCGGCAGGGAACATTGGGCGTGGATGGTCGTGGTTGAGGTCCGGCAGGGAACACTGGGCGTGGATGGTCGTGGTTGAGGTCCGGCAGAGAACACTGTGGATCGCGGGTCGCAGTTGAGGCAAGGACGACGAGGACGACGAGGACGACGAGGAGGACGAGGAGGAGGAGGAGAGGAGGACGAGGCAGGAGGAGGCGGAGGAGGAGGAGAAGGAGGAGGAGGAGGCAACTGACATAAAATCTAACAACCCTCACCTGGCAGGTGGGGAAAAAACGTGACAAATCCACAAATTCCAGATTCTTGATATGTCAAATCCAAAGGATTCCCATGAAAAAAACATAGAAACCTTATATACAGTATCAACAAAAAAACAATCCCAGAAAAAAAAAAAAAACGCTGAAATCGATACATCCACATCCACATGACATTGCCATCCCCTCAGCTCGCCTTGACCCCCTGCAGCGCCGTTGCCGTTTCCGTCATCAGCTCGTCCACGCTGAGGTCCAACCAAAGAGCCTCGGTGATTGAATGGGAATTCATGGTGATTTCATGAGATTTCATGAGATTTACAGCTCATTTGTGTGATTTATAGTTGATTTATGTGATGTATAACTGATTCATGATAGCTAAGCTGATGCACATTTTTTGCCTTGGGTACCGTTTGGGAAATATGGGTGGATATTTCCCAAACGGGAGGCCTCACCTTGCAGGGATGGATCAACCAAAATTCGCAAATCTAAGTGTTTTCCGATGGGTGTTTAACGCTGACTATTGTAGAATCATATGATGTTTTTTTTCCTGAAGATTCATGTATTTTTTTGGCCGAGGGTCCGAGGGTTGATGAGGATTGATGGGGATCTTTACAGGGATTCCTGGATCCAGCGGGGATAAAGTTGTTGCCCCCAAAGACTTGCAATGATGATGCTTCAACGAGGGTGATATTACATTGATATACAAAGAAATATAGTATATATTATACATATCAGATAAAATAGCAAATATGTGTATATTAAATCATATTAATATACTTTATAAATGTTGTATGTGTATATATATATATATATACACTGTATACCATACACAAGCATACACATATACCAACCAATTACAGAAGATAGATTGGCAATGGTAAGTGCTTGGTGGAGTAACCAATCTGCATGTACCAACCCAAGACGGACCGCTATGCCGACCCCGGTGAGCCCCCTTCCAGTCGTCCTGTCGCATTCGGACACCTTGATGGGTTGGCCAATCCCTTCCCCATCTGTGCACATAATGTTACCCTCTGGTAAATTAACATAACTATGGAAAATCATCATTTTTAATGGATAAATCAACTATGAATATCTATAAATGGCAATTTTCAATAGCTATGTTAGTCATTACCAGAGAGTACAGTAAAACGTCCTATTCGATGCCCATCATTCACCATCACATGACTGCCGGCCCCAGGAACTGTTGTTTGAAAGGCGGCATCGCCCAACTGCGAGCGCAACCTTGGTAAAATCATGGTTGCGATGCCATGGGATGGAAGAAATCCTGCACCAGTTGAAAGGTGGATTATCCATGTTTATCCATGTTTATCCCAATATTCAAAGTGTTTCAACTATCCAAGGTGGTGCAGGATTTCTTCCCGTCCACAGTATCATGAAATCATGTAACATATCAATCAATCTTTGGCAGACCTAGATACTGTCCAAGGTTGGGAATGGGAAAAGAAACGGGAAAACCCCCAAGGTGAAGCCTGTAACTCCGCTTATAAGTGGGCCTCAGCGTCCGTATCTTTTTATTAAGCCCCGAAAAGGCAGATGGACGCATGTCATGCATCCGTATCAAAACGGATAGCTCGATATAATTATGCATAATTATATATATATATATATATACATTGTAAGTATATCATAATATAATATATATGTATATATATATATATTATATTATAAATATATATATATATATGTATGTATACATACTATATATCACCGGCATTCATAAACCCTATCGTCATTCTAGCCAACTGGGTGGCACCAACCCACAGCCGTCGCCCCGGTCGCAGTGCCCCCCCCCGCACCGCCACAAAGGATGGGATGTCACCGTCCGTGGTGGCCACGTCAGCAACGAAACGTTCCAGAGCCTGGGTGGATCCGCCCACGAAGATGGCAGGAAAATGGTCCGCAACCATTTATGGTGGGATAGTAAGAGATACGAATGGGATACATCTATATATATATAATATGCATATGTGAAAATATGGAACCATTTTTTTGCTGGGAAAATGTAATCTGAATATATCGATCTATAAACTGTAGATATGTAGATACTCTGTGGTCACCCCCAAGAATCTACACATTGCCTCCCCCACCTAGCCGACTAAGAAGTGGGCTGAACTGAGTTTCATCCGGAAAAAATGATGACAAACCAATGGATTTCGGGATTCGGCAACTGGTGTGGATCCAATTTCTTACATCATCTTATCTAAACTTATCTAATATCAAGATGTGTTTTGAAAGGAAAGACCATGAAAGACCATACCTCTGGGACCATCATGGACCATCCGAAGGAGCATGGTCCTATTTACTGGTAGCGGGGAGGGATAGCCCAACGTCTTGTTGATCCAAGAGCTAATTACAGTTTTCTCAAACATCTGCGGACGGTTTTCATGCGATTTGACATGGCATCTTTTACAGAATTATATGCACGTAAACGGGACAAATGCAATGCATTTACTCTGTGAGACAACCGCCAAGAGCTAATTACAGTTTTCTCAAACATCTGCGGACGGTTTTCATGCGATTTGACATGGCATCTTTTACAGAATTATATGCACGTAAACGGGACAAATGCAATGCATTTACTCTGTGAGACAACCGCAAAGCTCGTAACGCATCACCCCGGATTAAGTAATTAATCTCAGTTGGTCAATTGGGGTGGGCACCACACAATAAACCAAGAAACCAATGTCATGTTTAGTTACCCTCTGGTGACCTAACAGTTTGCCGTCGAAAATGGCAAGGTTTAATAGGTAAATCCTCTAGGAATTTGTATTTTTGCATGGCTGTATTTAATTACCGGAGGGCATATCATTTGTATCATTCAGGTATGCCTAAAAGTCGTCCATTTAAAAAATCACTGACCATGGCATACCATGGCTCATCATGGCTCATCTTAGATGCCCTGCTGCAGATTGAGACTTGACCTGCTGTGTGTGTTCCTAACCGTTTATCATGTTATGAAAACAGCATCAGTTGCATTTCACTAGCCAAATCAGATTGACCCACTTAAAACCAAGTATAGCCCCATGTTTCTTAATTAAATCCCCATACTTGGTTGGTTTATATCAAGTATAGCCCCAGAAAAATATCAAGTATATCACCAGTTAACACCATCAATGTTCCTTAAATCCCCCGTTTTTGTTGGCCCCTTGACCCCGCCCTTCGCCCTTCACTCGCCTGGATGGCACCTTGGACCTCGCAGGGCCCAGCTTGGCCAAGCTGTCGCACGTCCCTGGAGTTCATCGCAGCAGTGAAAGCAGACACTGACGTGACAGACCTGACGCCGGGTGATGGCCATGGGCCATTGCAAAATTGAGACATGACATGGGGGAAATCACAAAAATCATCATCCAAATATTAAATGAAATGCATATATATACTTATATATGTGTGTATATTGTGTGTGTGTGCGCGTGGTTTGGCTTAACTTCCACTTCGCCCAACAATAAGACCAACTAAATCACCCTTAAAAAGACCAACTAGCACTCAGCGCACTTTATCCTGCAAAAGGAGACAAACCAATAAGTGTCAGATTAGTATCGGAGTCCAGGTACGACCTGGTAGGCGATCCCTTTTAGGATTTCACCCCCCTAACATGAAATCTGGCATAAATCATAAATTACACTAATTCGCTCACCGGAAAATAGCTGAACATAGCAAAACTAAATTTAAATCAGACCATTTGGGGATGATTCCCCTTACAGCGACCATCAACCATCATTCCGACGTCCCAGTGAGGTTATTCTGGCTTCCTGATGGTGCTAATAACATCTAATAACAATACCACAAACTACCAAACACGATCAAAAATATGTCCAGAAGCGAATGGACTACCGCTAAAGCACCCCCCAAAATAGAAACGTTATTCGTTATCTAAATTTCTGAATCGGAATCGGATTTCATAAAATTCTATAGGGGTTACTTTGGATTGCAATAGTTCAAGATGCCTGTGACTTAAAATATATCAAAACTAAACAAATCATTCAGGCTAGGCTAGTTCTAAGCCAACTTCACGAACTGATGCACCATCTTGTATGAATATATGTATTAATTCTATTCAAAGCTCATTGTCCCAAAACAAAAAATGATCGTCTCCGTTGTGAATCCCCATGGTACCCGAGGCCCCATGGGCCAAGCGGCCCGTCTCCAGCCATGTCCCTCAGCCAACTGGCGAAAGTGCCACGTAGGCCTGGACTCTTTCGGTTCATCACTACGCCTTGGGCGCCGCGCAGGATCTTCTGGAGATGGAAATCATGGGATTTCCATGGCTACTTGGAATGTCTTGGCTGGTGGTTTTAATATGTTTTAACCATCTTGAAAAATGATGGAGTTCGTCAATGGGAAGGATTATCCATGATGATTATCCCATATATGGAAAATAAAAAATGTATAAAAATGTTCCAAACCACCAACCAGTTGAATGTTTTGGTATATCTTCAATTGAACTTGAAAGCTTGGGGGATGGTTGGCGATGGTTTCCACGACTCAAAAATCTCAAAACGGACATTGAAACTCGCAGGGGGCTTTCGATGCTCGATGCAGCTTGGCCAAGGATCATCGTTGATCCAGTTGGATGCGCCCAGCACAAAGAACCTAGCTACCACGACAAGGGAGAAAACCTCCAGTTTCAATCTGCAAAATGATGGACCCCTCAATGACCACATTATCCAAATTCATAGTCCGTTCTTTTCTCCTGGAACTTATTGATTCGAATACACCCATCACCGTGACATATGCCGTACCGCTGTGACCTGTCCATCTGCGAGCAGAAAACTTCAACAAAAACACCTTGGTTTTTCTGGAAACAATGAGTGCCTCCTTAAAATCTGTTTGATTGAAAAAAACCTAATAATACATCTAAAAACCTTAAGGCTTGTTTCACAAACCCGCCTAAAATCACCGAAACCCCATGACTCACTGGCTGCCCAATACCCACCTTACGCCCTGCATGGCCCAGTGTCCGTCACGGGTTGAAACGCTTCCCTCCAGGGTGCAGTGAGTTCTGGCAGCTGGCTGTGAAGCTCATGCAGTTCCACCACCTTGCGGCGTCGGCGTGGGGACTAACGGCTTGCCCTGGGTTAAACCGAAAAAATTGGAACACCAATTTGCGGAAAACCCTAGGAACATGATCTATTATATACATATAATATGGTGGTTTTGTTTTGGAAGGAGTTGAAAATAGTCGAAACATATTGAACCCATGGAAACCACCAAGTAGTTTTGCTTTCCATTGGTATGTTGGATACCCTCAGGTAATTTTATAGTTTGCCATGGAAATTTGCCCATTTAATTTGGTTCGATGATTTATCGTTTTGAAAAAGTGGTGATCGTCCTGGTGCTGTTAAATTGCCAGAGGGCAAACAATTGAAATTGATTATTTATAGCAAGTGAGTATAGCAACCCCAAAAAAGATAGAATATGTAAAATCCAACTTTGTAGTAGTGGCAAGCGACTGTTCAGTCTTTTTGGTGGTTGCCATACCCCAAACCTTGAATGTTTATGCATATGTGGGCAGGTTAAAATTCATGAAACCAACGACTGTTTCCACATGATATAAGGCAACAAATACTGAACCTGTGATTGAATTCACCGAGCCGCTTTGCAGGCCGTGCCCCACAAGTGTACGGATGTTGGGAGGATATATGATATGTATATATATATATGTATGCATGTATGCATGTATGCATGTATGCATGTATGCATGTATGTAGGTATGTAGGTAGGTATGTATGTATGTATGTAGGTAGGTATGTATGTATGTATGTATTTAATATGTATGCATGTATATATAAATATAATAGGAAAACATGTTAGCAAACTCAAATATTCAATTCACTGGGAAAAAAACACTAAATTAAATGGGTAATAACTAAGTACTATAGTCGCAAAGTTAGTATGGAATTGAACAAACTCATTGTTTCCCGTAAAGTACTAAGTTTGTTCATAACTCATAAAAAAGTAGCAATATCTAATAATGTCAACTAGAACTATAGTTAACGTATGTCAACTAGAACTAGCTAATGCAAACTAACTTCTATAGTTAATGGGGGTTTACTTCACTAAGTTAATGGACATCAACTGAGTTGATGTCACCTTAGTACTGTCCACTAGCTTATCACAACCGGAGTTCCCATTCCCATCCACCTGATGGAGGCGTCCGTCGTACCTTTCCGACGGCTGGAGGGGTCACATTTCTGAATCCCAACATCCTTAAACTATATCATCATGTGTATAATATATATATATATATATATCCGCGTGTGTGCGTGAGTAAATATGATTGATATGTATATATTTCCCATTTGTGCAGGAGAAACTCCCATTGATTGATGGTTGAACCGTGTTGAACGCAAACATGTACTAGTCTAGTGACTAAACTGTCATTTTAGGGAGCCCCAAAATAATGAGACAAACTTGTCCAGTATGATATTCGTAAATGTCTGGATTAGAAACCCTAGCGGAATGTGGATATGTTCATCAAATGCGGTTCCATTTGGTTCCATGTGTGTAGGGGAGCTGCGGAAGTACACAATTAGCTAAATTGGATGATATATTAACCTCAGAATAATGATGATTTATTGCAATATTGCAATATATCGAAATAGGTTATCTAGTTGATGAATAGTGGACCTAATTTTTCCCCAACATCTGGGATAAGATGTTATATTAGCCTTAACATCCCTTAAGATCACTATTTCACTATTCCCTACACGATCATTGGTATAAACTGATCACATGAATATAAACATATAAACTGATCATTATCTCCAATAATGTGGGTAAAACAATAATAAACCATCCCCCAAATCACCATTATTATAGGTCGTATGTTTACCATTCCCAGTCATGGGTGGTTTATGGCACCGTTTTACCCACATTAGTTGAGATTTCCCGTTGCTGAGCCCCAAGATGCGCCGCCTCTTCCGCCTGTGTCGCTGCAGGGCTGCTGCCGGAGCTGCTGGGGCACATGGAGGTGGAATTCCGGACATGGCTCCCGTGGAGTTCCCTGGAAATTCCGCAGGGTTTTGTTTTTGTTGGAAACCCAGAAAATCCAGGGTGGAATCAATCAAGCTTGGCAATATCAATGGTTTATATAGGTTTATGATGTTTTATGTTTTTGTTGGACTTTTTTTTTAACAAAGGGGGGCAGAAAACCAACCATGAACATCGGTGATGTCTGATGTGTTCCTGGTGTTTGAACAGGGTCTGCAGAATTGACGCAGGCGTTTGACGTTTGGTATCTTTTAATACCTGGCACCCCCGGCCTTAGGTTAGGGAAGAACGGAGGTCGCATTGCGCTGATTGTAAGATGTTCTAAAGCGGCAAGCACAAACGAATTCGACGCTGCAGCCATGAGAGGGCAGTTGAGCTTGGCATTCAGAGTTCTTGCTCCAAGATCCGTTACTGTTGCCAACCAATTGACAAAACTTTCAGATTCAAGTCCTTTCACAAGAAAACACTTGGGCAGCTCCACCCCAAAAGCCTCCCCTTGCTTTGGTAAACCAAGATGCCAATGACGCCAATGCTATTCCACTATTCCTAGACCCCTTCCCTCTCGCAAAACAGAAACGCAGGGCTCCGGAAATGTCAATGCGTCAATACGACAGTCTAGAGCCATCTTTCTAGGGATCGAATTTCGGTTCTCGCGGTCATATCAAAAGTAGCTGGCGCAGTGCTAACCCCCCAGGAAATGGCATCAAAGACTGTGACCCATCATGGCTCACGCCCATCTTTCAACGCATTTTTGTCTGATCCAAATGCCCCTGAAAGCGAACAATCGAAGCTCAAAAAATGCCTTGTGGCAATACCTTGCCCTAATAGTTCTCTAAAACAATTTCTAGGATATTTTAAAGCGCCTTTTAGTTTTCAATAGCTTTCGGGGCTGTGCGCCCCCCAAGAGGCCCAAGAAAAAGGCGCCATAGCCAGCATCCTCCAGCTCTAACTCGATCTGCTCAACCAACTTCTCATGCCTCAGCACAGAAGTACTTTGGTTTGAACTAACAAAACGATAGACAAATTGACAAATTTGGTGTACCCCCTATTCACATCGTCAATTTATTGCAGATTTGAGGAGCATGATGAGTATCCAGTGGATTTAGGGGTACCCATGGTACTGGGACACACCAACTTAAGGGTGTTCATCCTGCGAAGTCCGGTCAATCCCAATTACGCTACTTGACATTTTGGTCAATTCATGTAAATCACCCAATTTGGACCACCGAATCCCATATAGTTTGTGCATTTTTATTACCAACCACAACATCCCAGCGCTTGACATCAGCCCAGACATTGGGAGGTCCCATGCAAACCTGGAACATGGGACGATACTCAGCCACAAGGACCCATCAACCACAAGGACCATCCCTTGTAGGGCCATCTACCGAAAGAAGCCCTGGGGCTTTCACCCACTGGGCAAAACTGGGAACCCCGCTTCTGACGCAGTTGATCACAGCTCTGAGTGATTGCCTCTTGGAGACCTATGGCCCAGCGGTGGACACTGGAAGCTGACAGATGGGTCTGAACCGGGCTCTACAACATGGCAAAATGTGGTATGCGGTGAAACCCAAACAGAAACACCTTGAGTGGATCTTTTGGGGATGTGTTTCTTAGTGCACCTCAAAAAGTTAGAATGGACATTTTTTTTGGTATTTTTTTGGTATTCGAAGCCCGACGTACCACAGGAAAAAAACTAGATGTTCAACTCTGGCACGCCTCAAAATTTAATTTTGCAACCCCGCTTCCCAGTTTTTTGGTTCACGTGCCAAACATGCAAAAAATCAGCAACTGCCACATCAAGAGTGGCCATTTTGACTTGATCATCCTGATTATATAGTTAAACAATCTGCTACTAAGGTGATCACACCCCAGTTGAAAGGCCCAGGAGTGAGTAAAATCCGTGTCATCAAACCACAGTATCTAGACCCCATAGGAAAACCAAAGACAAGAAATATCATGCAGTAATTATCCAAGTACGAAAAAACTAGACGACGGATGGCCCGAGGGCGTAGAGGAGCAGGGTCTTCTCTTGTTAGTATGGAGACACAATTTTACAAACAATATATGAAAGATGTGTTATAGGCAGTCGAGAATAGGAGTAGCAAGACAAAATAGTGAGAAGTGCAAGACAATAGTTTGCATCGCAAACACTTTTACACACAGGCGCTTTTACACACAAAAGCTTTTACACACAGAAGCTTTTACACACAGAAGCTTTTACACAGAGGCTATTACACACAAAGCTTTTACCCACAGAAGCTTTTACATACAGACGCTTTTACACACAGATGTTTTTACACACAGACGCTTTTACACGGACACTTTTACACACAGACACGTTTACACACAGACACTTTTACACACAGACCTTTTTACACACAGGAGCTGCTTTTACACACAAACGCTTTGACACACAGAAGCTTTTACACATAGACGCTTTTACACACAGGCACTTTTACACACAAACACTTTTACACACAAACACTTTTACACACAGACGCTTTTACACGCAGACGCTTGTACACACAGAAGCTTTTACACACAAACACTTTTACACAGAGACGCTTTTACACACAGACACTTTTACACACAGACACTTTTACACCCAGAGACTTTTACACGCAGACACATTTACACAAACACGTTTACACACAAACATGTTTACACACAAACACTTTTACACACAGACACTTTTACACACAGAAGCTTTCACACACAGACGCTATTACACACAGATGCTTTTACACGCAAAAGTTTACACACAAACAGTTTTACACACAAACACTTTTACACAGAGACGCTTTTACACACAGAAGCTTTTGCACACAGACGCTATTACACACAGACGCTTTTACACACAGACGCTTTTACACACAGACGCTTTTAGACACATCGCAATTTTACTTCAGTTTGTGGCGATCCAACCTCATTTCGTGCGAAAGGGACATGCGACAGGGTTGCGCGGGACAAGTTGAAATCGCAATTTCACCTCAGTTTTTGCCGATCGAACCTCACTTTGTGCGAAAGGGTTGCGCCGGACGACTTGAAATCGTAATTTCACCTCAGTTTTTGACGATCGAACCTCATTTCGTGCGAAAGGGTTGCGCCGGACGACTTGAAATCGCAATTTTACCTCAGTTTTTGACGATCGAACCTCATTTCGCGCGAAAGGGTTGCGCCGGACGACTTGAAATCGCAATTTTACCTCAGTTTTTGACGATCGAACCTCATTTCGTGCGAAAGGGTTGCACCGGACGACTTGAAATCGCAATTTTACCTCAGTTTTTGACGATCGAACCTCATTTCGTGCGAAAGGGTTGCGCGGGACAAGTTGAAATCGTAATTTTACCGCAGTTTTTGACGATCGAACCTCATTTCGTGCGAAAAGGTTGCGCGGGACACAAGTTGAAATCGCAATTTTACCGCAGTTTTTGGCGATCGAACCTCATTTCGTGCGAAAGGGTTGCGTTTCGTGCCATCTCGTTGCCACTGCCCCTGCTCCCGCCTTCAAGAAAGAAATAGAAAAGAAGGAGAGGGCAAGAGGGCAAGAGGGCAAGAGGGCAAGAGGGCAAGAGGGCAAGAGGAGAAGGTGTGAGATGAGAAGATGTAAAGATGAGAAGATGTGAGAAGATGTGAGAAGATGTGAGAAGATGTGAGAAGATGTGAGAAGATGTGAGAAGATGTGAGAAGATGTGAAGATGAGAAGATTAGGAGAAGATGGGAGGATGAGAAGATGTGAAGATGAGAAGATGTGAAGATGAGAAGATGTGAAGATGTGAAGCTGTGAAGATGAGAAGCTGTGAAGATGAGAAGATGTGAAGATGAGAAGATGTGAAGATGAGAGGATGTGAAGATGAGAGGATGTGAAGATGAGAGGATGTGAAGATGAGAAGATGTGAAGATGAGAAGATGTGAAGATGAGAGGATGTGAAGATGAGAAGATGTGAAGATGAGAAGATGTGAAGATGAGAGGATGAAGATGAGAGGATGTGAAGATGAGAAGATGTGAAGATGAGAAGATGTTTTACAGACCCCCACTATTGGAAGAACCCTGCGCTCAGACGCTCTCGGGAATGATATTCCCCAGTTGGTTGATAGGTTTCCCTGGTTTCCCTACTACGGATGATCATCATCCATCATCAATGGTAGTACCAAGTAGTATCACTCCTTAGTTCTTAACCCATCAAGGCAAGACCAGGCAAGACCCAAGACCATTGACCCGTCGAGATCCCCAGCGAGTCTGTTCAGCCTTGGCGGCTTCCATCCTGAGTGCGATGTAGGGCGTTGCTGGGATTTTTGCTAAAGCATGAGGCTTTCACCAATACAAAATCTAGGGGTATGTACCTGGTCTATCTATACTATATATATATACTAAATATGTCTCAAAATGATTCAAAATGTAGTTTCACCAGTATATCTGGTCTGGGGAAAACAACATGTTAAATCTAATGTAAAACAAAAACTGGGAAAACATTTAGGGTTATATTCTACATTTACATTTGTAGAGCTGGGGAAACTAAAATTCTGAGATCTATTTGGATTTTAGCAGGTGGTGCCACAGTTTGGTGGCTACGTTGGTGGTCCACAGTTCACTATGCTCAATGGGATGCATGGAGGACACCTGAAATGATGTCCAAGATGCTCAGACAGCAGCTTTCTCAAATCCTCCATCTCTTTTCTTGTCATCCTTAGTGAACGGCGCTCCGACCCGAATCAAGACCCAAATGCCCAGAGTTGTGGTCATGTGTTACTCTTGTGGTTTATTCTTGTGGTTCACGATATATGCCTTTGAGACAGCGAATCGCAGGTTCAACGCAGCCCATGTCATGAACTTCCAGGGCTGGAAGTTTTTCCTAAGCTTCCGGCGGCACAAGCATGCCTCGATCCAGTGTCAAGTTTGCACCGGTGATGCACATGTGCACGTCCATTTCACCTTAGGGGCTTGATCGGCCAGTTAAGTTATTCCAAGTTACCTGAATATGAATGTAAAGCATCCAAATCAATTGCATTTGCGATCTAACTGACAAACGCAAAGAAACATTGGACAAAAACGTTGTGATACCATGGAATTGCTCTAATTCAAAATGTCCTCTGGCAAACCCACCAAGATAAGAGCACCCACTGAACAAAACAGAATCCACATTCACTGCACTGTATCCCTTGTCGGTCAAACATTGTTCTGATGTCGTTCCATGGTTTCCCCGTGATTAACGCATGAACTTCGATTACCAGAGGAGTGTCAGCCAAACGGTACTAATATTCCTGGTCGATCACTGATGGCTGACAAACCCATCGAAATCTCAAAAACCTATTAGGACATTATAAATCTTGAGATTTGGATTATGAAACCTATGAATATCCCATTATGAAACTTCCCATTGAACCACACCTTTATTTTCCCACTAAAACACAAGGGGAGAAACTTAATCTTGGAAGGTGGGGGTTAACACCAGCAGTATCATCTCAGTCAGGAGGTAAGTCCCCCGGGCTTATCCCATAAGTTGATCATAACTCCAGTTATCTCCAGTTATTAACTAGTTACGATTCGTGGGATGAAATAACATGTGGTATATATATATATGTATATAGCCTTCAAATCTTTCATTTCTATCATTGTTATCATCATCATTATCCAATTATCACTTTGATCATTGTCGTCATTATCACTATTCTGGTCTAATGTGGGTAACACACAATCATAAAACATCATAAAACAACCCAACAATTTCTTCACCATATAGGTATAAACCATTCCCAGTCATGATTGGTTTATGGCATTGTTTTACCCCCATGGTAAAACAATGCCGTAAACCACTCATGACTGGGAATGGCAAACATACCACCAAACAAAAAATGGTGACTGGGGGGATGGTGCATTTATGGCTTTTTGTTTTGACCACTGACTAAGTAATCTTTCTCGTCATTCTCCCAGTGAACAACTCGTGGCTCCAGCACCATCCCTCGGGCCCCGGCTCTTCATGTTGGTCGCGGTGATCTCGCACAGGCCGTTGCCACCCGCGCGCACCGCCAAGTCGCCACGCCTGGACTCCGAGCGGCGGTTTTCAGGCGCAGGGTGGGTGACAGCCCAGGGGTTGGAGGCCCTAAAAGAATGGTGGATACTCTCTGGTTAAAATGGCGTGGCTATGGAAAATCATCATTTTTAAATATTTTTAAGAGGTAAAACATCAGAAATCAACTGCAAATGGGCCATTCTCCATAGCTAAGTTGAAATAACCAGAGGGTATAACCAGCAAAGAGTGGGTGTATAGTGATGGTTATAACTTCTAAACCATTAAACAAGTTTAAGGGAATACTGTTAAAACATACTTAGCAGGTGGTGCCCCAGTTTGTTGACTAAACTGGTAAACAGTTCTTGCATATTTCACCAGGGTTTATTGTAGATTTCTCTGTAGTTCATGGGGATTTTAAACCAATTTATAACTGGGGGATATGGCCAACCCCAAAATTATAACCCTTTTGGGTGACGGTGGTTTTTCAATACCACCCAAATAATGGCAAACTCATGCATGGGTACGGGTTGTGGTTTCCTATTGGGAGCAGTTGGACATGTTTTTGCATGACTTCAGGTACCATTGTTCTAGAGGTGTCGCCAAGACATTTGATGTCCCAGTGGTCGGGACTTACAGAGAAACTATTGGGTTTACACCATCAGTAATCCCATCCCCCTAATATTGAACACCTCATTAGTTTAATAGGGAATTTCAGGGAATTTCCACATTTTTTTGGGACCATTTGGGAGGTGTTTAATATCCAGTATCAGTTTTGTTGCTTGCATCGTGACTGGAGCTTTCCAGCCCACCTCCAAAGTGCTCCTTTTCCAATATTCTTTACTGCCTGGCAGCGCCATGAAAAACCCGTTTCAGCTGACGTTTGAATCTTTGAAACATTCCCCAAAGGCCTGTGAAGATTTTCTGCTGGATCCAAAAAAATCATAGAGTTGTTTCTGGAAAGTTCCCTTCCAAGTTTTTTGGACAAAACTTATCCCAAAAAAATAAACTAGTGTTTTGATTTCCTGTCAAAGAACGATGTACGCACATACGCAATGTCTCCGGAAAACAATGGGCCAATGTCATCTTTGCCTGGGAGGCCTCAGAAATGATGCATGGCAAACTCATGGTTTAAAAGATGGATGAACCAGGCAGGGCCTTGATTATAAGTTGCTTTAGAACCCCAGGAAAAACTCTATTATAACTATAGATACAGTATGTTCCCTCTATATCCAATCGCTAGCCAAGCCTTCTTCTCTAAAGTGTGGCAAGCATCCTGCCAGAAATGGCCAGAGCTCGCAACACCCACGAAACGATGGAAGTTCCTAAAAATAGTGAACTGAGAGTGACATGTCCTGAAATTGTCTATCTTTTTGGGGTTCCTATGGGGCGCGTGTTGAATCTCAAAATTGCAAACATGTAACATTTATTTTCAGCGAATTTGCGATATACGCAAGATAGTCGCAAGAAGCCGAAACCAGTGGTTTCCTCGGGTTGAAGATTCACCAGATCATTGTCTTGGCACTCGCTTAATCCCCATTGGTGCTCGGTCACCTTGTGGCTATCATCATTTACCTTGAGAGCCTACAGCAACATTGATTTTAGGGAGGCAAATTGTCACACATTTGGGGTTATATATATATATATACTATATAATATAATACATTATAATACTATATATATATATATTCACATTTTTTTGGCATATAACCCCAACAGTTGTTGGTGACATCACCACAGTTCTTCTAGTCATAGTGACTGGTTCCTTTTGGGCTGATTCACCTCTTGACTGGGACAAAGCCCTTTGGTCAACATCTTCATTTCGAATCATTTCGATGGGAGCAAGGAAAAAGGCAAATCAAATCAAATCAAAATCATCATCATCATCATCATCAATCATCATCATCATCATAAGTTATCTGCAATACAAGTGAGCCATTTTCCATAGCTATATTGTTAAGTTACCGGAGAGTCTAAGCTGCCCTGTCAATGTAAATGTTGTGATCTTCCACTGCCTCCGTTTGCCGGACCATACATCTGGGCAAATAACCCAACACGCAATTTAAAGAATGACCCCACCACTGTTTAGAATCATGAACCATCAATACTCACAGAATCTCACAGATCATGGCATTGGAAAAAAAAATCATCACTATAATCATCACTGTTTGGTTTTTCAAACAAGTGGTAATCTATAGCATCTGCTAACATGTGAAAAACCCAACTGGGTTAACCGTCAACCCCAGTTTTTGACATCCTCGATGAGGTGAATCCGCCCGGCCACCTGCGGTGGCCACGGCTGCTTGGCTGGAAACCCCCTGGTTGAGAGAATGGGTTGTAAACCTTATATTAACCTTATATTATGGGAAAAGGTTAAACCGCAATCATGGACGAACAATGCAAAATTTGGGGGAACACCATCTGGTAAAAAAAAAGAAGCAACTACAGTATATGGAAAATTCATTATTTTCCATATAAATCAATGTAAATCAACTATTTCTATGGGCCATTTTCGATAGCTATGTCAAAAATGACCGGAGCGTTAGGAGCGTAGCCCGGATTTAAAACAACCTGATATCAAGAAAACGGAATATGTTGTTACCCTCTGGTAATTTAACATAGCTATGGAAAATCACCATTTTTAACGGGAAAATCCACTATAAATGGCCATTTTCAATAGCTATGTTAGTTTACCAGAGGGCATTTCTATTTTCAGACAAAAAACTATCAATGAATCAAGCTACCAGAGCAAACCAAAGTTTGCTCAGAAGAATTAATTATACAAACAACAAGGTGGATCTTTGCTATCTTAAGATATCTGAAGTAATTTTACAATCTCACCAGATCATACACCTCTACCGTTCAACGAATCAAAATATATTCCATCGTGGCCCGTGGCTGTGTCCCAAACAAGGCCGGAAAGAAACACATATTTGACGCTTCAAAACTCAGTACTTGCAAATGATACAACCTCAGCTCAGGGATCCTTCCGGGACTAGCATGTCTGGCATGTTTAAATCATAAGCCTACCCCCATCCATCATTTACTTTTCCATGGAGCCTTAGGAGCTCAAGTCAAACCTCGCCCCGTCCCGGCTCTACCAAAAATGAAACACTTGGGGGGTTCCTGACATGACTGACATGGGGGGTACCCCAATAGCTGGATGGTTTCTAATGGAACATCCTGTCAACATGGATGATTTTAGGGGTACCTCTATTTTTAAGGAACCCCACCACATGAAATGACCGAGACTTTGAGATACACCTGCATCCTGCTGACTGGGGATGTTAAAACACTACTATGAACCCAAACCACTCAAACCATTGTCAGTTCGGATCAAGAGTAGGTGAGTTTTTGATTCTCCGGATGAATCCCTGAAGTTGGCCTGCCGGCCTGCAACTGGCTTTGCAGCTGGCTTTGAGAATGGCCTATACCATCCATTTACGGTGATTTGGGGGATGGTTTATATATTCTTGTTTAACCCACATTGCCCCAAACCTGGTGTCCAACATCATGTCCCAACATTCAACAGCACCCCAGGCGTGGCGAATTGCCGCGAGTTTTTTTGGGCGCCCATTGCAGCCGTTGATGAAGGGCGTGCAACCACCAACCAGAAACAATATCAGAAACAACCTGTTGTGTTGAGACAACAAGTCCGGTTTGTCACAGAATGTCACAGAGTGAGCAACATTTTGACACCCTCTTGGCTTGGATTCCGTCATCGTCAGGATGAGAAGCAATGCGCTTTAAGACATCAAGCAACACACCTTTTGGGGAACGATCCATAAATCTCCCCACAAAAAGGTGTCAGAAAGAGAATTGACACCAGAACAGAATGCTTCCAAGCTTTGGCTGAAAGAACATGTTGTGCCAATGGATGTTCATCTCTCTTCACTATTCTCATCCCCAAGGTGCACCGCACCCGAGGTGCTTTGGGGAAAAAAAGGACCAAATCCTTAGTCATGGGCCCGCATGGGCCAGAGGTTCGATCAGTATGCTGTTGAAAATCCCAAAGCAGAATTATTTGCCCATTTTGGGATGGTTCCCCCTATTAACCATCATGTTTGGTCAAGTTGTTGTAAGGTTGATTCAATTTGTCCAGGCAAATTGGAAAGCGTCAGGGCAAAGACATCCCGACAACTCTAGGAACTTAGCTGGCTTGCTAAAAAATCTAAGCATGTTAGGGACCCATAAATTCTAGAAATCTATATAGAAAGGCATCAATTATGAGATACCTTCCGGCAATTCAACATATAGCTATGGAACATGACGAGGTAATTCAATGATATTCAAATTTCATCTATAAAATGGAGAAGGAGGGTAGTATCTTTTTGGTTCATCCGAAGGCCGCCAAAACAGACAGCTTCCGAACGGTCCTGGCTCGATCCAAGCGTCTCTTGCGTGGGCCCAGGGCTGGTGATCTCGGCAAAACTCCGTGCCACCCTCAGGGTGTCCTGATTGGCTGGCGACTGCCGCCACTGGAGACTTGCTATCCTGTGGTCATCAAACATGGTATGCCGGAAAAAAAACAAAACATGTAGCTAAATTTAGTTCGATGATATTCCAGTTAAAAACATTTAAATGCCTTTAAATGCTCTATTTGTATGGATTTCCCATTCGAGAAAACAATCATGACTTGCACTTCTTTGGCGGGCTTAAGCCCTCAATGCGGCAGCTTGATGGACCATTGGATCATGCCTCGAAAATCCCGAAAGATGGATTTTCGGTACACCAATGGTTCAGCGTATTCGAACCGAAATCAACAAAAATGACAACCAAACACACTTGAAATCTGTCAATGGACGCCAGTGAAGCGTTTCTGACATCAAATGACATCAGATTCACGAGGAATGAGGCTACGAAAAGCGTAGTGCAGGATGGGGATACCACAGAGGAAACGGCAGGAAAAAAAGTCACCAAACCCATCGCATTTTGTCCCTTTCCATGTCAGTCTTTAGGACCTTATGTGACTTATGTGTGTATTTAAGATTCCTGAATATTCCTTCTTTTGCGACTTCATTGCCATGTGTGAAATACTGGTTCGCGGGAAACCTCAAGAAGGAATTTGCCACGTTCTCACCATCAAAAATTCAAGATTCAAGAGCGATTTCCTGTAAAACAAATGTTTCATCCAATTCACAGGAAACCCCATGTTCCATAAACAATAGCAGTTCTTTTGTTGTTTTTAAACCACGTTTTCCCATTCTTCAATTCCTTGTAAATGATTACAAGGTGAGGCCCCCCAGTTAGGTTTATGGGTTCAGTTTCACTCCATGAGCCATAGTCATTTACGCCATGAACCCAAACATTACCCAAGTGATCTGCGTCAACTTAGCCATTTCATACATCATCCATGAGAAATCCCTTTTTTTTCCTCGCGAACTCACCATTTTCCCATGGTTTTCCGATGGTTTTCCCATGGTTTCCATGCCCCCCAAAAAAATCCCCCACTCCACGGAGCTTCGGGGTTGTTGGGCCCGAAGGCTTCACGACTCAGCTTCACGACCTGGCGAAAGGCGCCTCCAGGGTTGGGTTGGGGAGGAGATATATCTATATCTATATATATATATAATTATATATATATATATATTACAGGTATGATATATATTACAGGTATGATATATATTACAGGTATGTTATATATATATTATATGTATATATATAAATATACATATGTATATATATATATATTGGCTATATAGGCTATATATGACAAATATACATCATCCACAGTCCCACTAAAAAGGGCCCAAATCCCAACCCAAACTAAATGTCATATTTCACCCCCCATTGTCGTTGCTTGTAAACATGGTGAAACTATGTTATTAACCATGTAATAGCATGTAAAAGCATGTAAAAGCATGTTAAACAATCTTCTTCAACAATCTTAAGCCATTTTAAACACGCATGTTAAACACTGTCATTTAACAAATTTAAACCATGTAAAACCATGCTAAACTTATGACCCCGTGTAGAACAGAGAAAGTGGATTTTAGCAAAAAATTAAAAAAACAAAAAAAAAACAAAAACAGAAACAAAAACAGAATCACCAAAAAAACAAATCGACAGGAAGAAACAGAAAAAAAACAAGAAAAAAACAAGAAAAAAACAAAAAAAACAAACAAAAAAAAAAACAAAAAAAAATCAAAACTGCGGAAAATGCAGGTTTTGATTTTTTTTTGTTTTTTTTTTTGTTTTTTTCTTGTTTTTTCCTTGGTTTTGGTTTTCTAGTTTGTTTTTTTTTGTTTGCTCTGGTTTTGTTTTTTTTTTGTTTTTTTAATTTTTTTGTCAAACCCTATATTCTCTGTGTTGTTGGACTCATAATGCTAAACCATCTCATTTAACAATCTTAAACTATGTTAAACCATGTTAACGCATGTCAAACCCTCTTATTTAACAATTCAAACAAATGTTAACCCATGTTAAACCATGTTAAAACATGTTAAACTGTTAAACCGTCTCATTTAACAATCTTAAACCATGTTAAACCATGTTAACGCATGTCAAACCCTCTTATTTAACAGTTCAGACAAATGTTAACCCATGTCAAACCATGTTAAAGCATGTTAAACCCTCTCATTTAACAATGCTAAACCATGTTAAACGATGTTAAGCCATGTTAAACCATCTCATTTAACAATCTTAAACCATGTTAAACCATGTTAACGCATGTTAAACCCTTTTATTTACCAAATCAAACAAATGTTAACCCATGTTAAAGCATGTTAAACCCTCTCATTTAACAATGCTAAAACATGTTAAACGATGTTAAGCCATGTTAAACCATCTCATTTAACAATCTTAAACCATGTTAAACCATGTTCACGCATGTTAAACTATCTTATTTAACAATTCAAACAAGTGTTAACCCATATCAAACCATGTTAAAGCATGTTAAACCCTCTCATTTAACAATGCTAAACCATGTTAAACGATGTGAAGCCATGTTAAACCATCTCATTTAACAATCTTAAACCATGTTTAACCATTTTAACGCATGTTAAACCCTCTCATTTAACAATGCTAAACCATGTTAAACGATGTTAAGCCATGTTAAACCCTCCCATTTAACAATCTTAAACCATGTTAAACCATGTTAACGCATGTTAAACCCTTTGATTTACCAAATCAAACAAATGTTAACCCATGTCAAACCATGTTAACACATGTTAAACCCTCTCATTTAACAATGCTAAACCATGTTAAACGATGTTAAGCCATGTTAAACCATCTCATTTAACAATCTTAAACCATGTTAAACCATGTTAACACATGTTAAACCCTCCTATTTAACAATTCAAACACATGTTAACCCATGTCAAACCATGTTAAAGCATGTTAAACCCTCTCATTTAACAATGCTAAACCATGTTAAACGATGTTAAGTTAAACCCTCTCATTTAACGATCTTAAACCATGTTAAACCATGTTAACGCATCTTAAACCCTTTTATTTAACAAATCAAACAAATGTTGACCCATGTCAAACCATGTCAACGCATGTTAAACCCTCTCATTTAACAATGCTAAACCATGTTAAACGATGTTAAGTTAAACCCTCTCATTTAATGATCTTAAACCATGTTAAACCATGTTAACGCATCTTAAACCCTTTTATTTAACAAATCAAACAAATGTTGACCCATGTCAAACCATGTTAACGCATGTTAAACCCTCTCATTTAACAATGCTAAACCATGTTAAACGATGTTAAGTTAAACCCTCTCATTTAACGATCTTAAACCATGTTAAACCATGTTAACGCATCTTAAACCCTTTTATTTAACAAATCAAACAAATGTTGACCCATGTCAAACCATGTTAACGCATGTTAAACCCTCTCATTTAACAATGCTAAACCATGTTAAACGATGTTAAGCCATGTTAAACCCTCTCATTTAACAATCTTAAACCATGTTAAACCATCTTCAACCATGTTAAAGCTTGTTAAACCCGTTCATTTCTGTTAAAGTCGGCTACCACGCCAGACCTTGTCTTGGAGTTCGATCGCCTCCTCCCTGTGACCCATGCCCGTCAACAGCTTAGCGAGTTTCAGCTGGGCTTCCTGGGGAGATTGCGACCAAGGTCCATAAGGGAGGCTGCAACAATGCATAAGGTGGTGCCCCCTTATAACTCCAGTAACTATGGTTTATGGTAGCTGATTAAATCTGATTAACAATAGCTGGATGGTTTACAGATATATTCATTGGATTGGTTTTCTTCGGAAAATCTTAACCGGAAACCCATGGTTTTTATCATCTAAAGATGGGGGTTCCTGTAGATATGTATATATAACCTTGGAATGGCCATGTCAACGAGAAATTTCCCACAAACCATGGACTCTTGATGGGAATTTGGGGTGTGAAGTCCCAGCCATAAAAGGAAACAACATGGAAAGGGTCAATCACTATTACAGCACCATTTCAAGTGATGTTGAACCTCACAAAAACTGAGGAAATAAGCAGACCCCTGATAGCGAATTCTTAAAACATGCACCACCCCAGTGCACAACCCCAGGCGCAATGGTGTCTGCAAAGATGATTCCATGGATCTTTTGTCGATCCTGGCACACCGCCGCGTAGCTTCAGGATTCATCATGATTCTCTCTTGGAATTCCTGCTGAGGGGTAAGAATTGATATATGCTGATATCATATAATCCCTGTCCCCCACTATTAAAACACCACCCAAAAACCATGGTTTAGTAGGGAATTACACATATTCGGGACCATGTAGGTGTTTAATATTGGGGGGATGGTATTCTCGTTAGGATTCATTGTCGTGAAATCTTCAAAACCCAATTCAAACCTAAAATAATAGTACTTGTTTGATGGTTCCCTATATTTCCCTAACATCTCTGACACCAACACTCGTAAACAACCTCCCCACACACCTCCACGAGATGAAACACGACATAATGTGATATCATTTGATCCCTACATGTTCAATACATGTCAATCCCATTCAATCCGCATAACAAAATCTGGCCCAAAAGCAAGTTCACCCAGAGTTCCAGGCCAGTTTTACCACCACTATCTTGCAGGACTCCCCAGTTCTAAGTTGGTAAACAAAAACCCCATGAACTAGTTCGTTAATGTTCGTTATATCTACAATAAACATCAATAAACCATAGAATTCAGCCACGTTTTTTAAGCAACTTAGCCACGCTATCGACTGGCCCCATCCTTGACCTGCAACGGCCAGGGGCCGCACCTTCACCTCTCGCCTTCGAAGCTTCAGAGCTTCGTCCTTTTCGCCCATGGCCAGCAAGGTGTCGGCCACACTGCCGGTGGACCAGAGGGTGTACTTGTGCTTGGGCCCGAAGTACATCTTTCCTGGATAAGATAGTGGTGATAGACGAGATAGACGAGATAGATGAGATAGATGAGATAGATGAGATAGATGAGATAGATGAAATAGATGAGATAGATGAGATAGATGAGATAGACGAAATAGATGAGATAGATGAAATAGATAAGATAGATGAGATAGATGAGATAGATGAGATAGATGAAATAGATGAGATAGATGAGATAGATGAGATAGATGAGATAGATGAGATAAATGAGATAGATGAGATAGATGAGATAGATGAGATAAATGAGATAGATGAGATAGATGAGATAGATGAGATAGATGAGACAGATGAGATAGATGAGATAGATGAGACTTATAGATGAGATTTATAGATGAGATAGATGAGATAGATGAGATAGATGAGATAGATGAGATAAATGAGGTAGATGAGATACATGAGATAGATGAGACAGATGAGATAGATGAGATAGATGAGATAGATGAGATAGATGAGATAGATGAGATAGATGAGATAGACGAAATAGATGAGATTTAAAGATGAGATTAATAGATGAGATAGATGAGATAGATGAAATAGATGAGGTAGATGAGATAGATGAGATAGATGAGATAGATGAGATTAATAGATGAGATAGACGAGATAGATGAGATAGATGAGATAGACGAAATAGATGAGATAGATGAAATAGATAAGATAGATGAGATAGATGAGATAGATGAGATAGACGATATAAATGAGATAAATGAGATAGATGATATTGATAAGATAGATGAGATAGACGATATAGATGAGATAGATTAGATGGATGATATACGATATATATAAGATAAATGATATCGATTGTATGGGTGATATAGATGATATACATAGATGATATATAGATGATATAGATGATATAGATTATATAGATGATATAGATAATATGAACAGTATATGATAGTATAGAGATGATATAATATGATAAGTATAGATGATATGGACAGTATATGATAGTATAGAGATGATATTGATGATGGAGATTTAGAGATTTTATATAGACCTAGATGAACCCTTCAGTCGAAATCCCGAACTACATTATTAATGACATTTTTAATGGAGGATTGAATGGGAACATATCATCTACAAGCAAACGGGAGTTTCCATTGGCATGTTTGATTGCCAAAGGGTGCCCCTTTGAATTTCAAAACATCAAAGGAATGAATGCACCTGAACATCACAGTCTATATATCTATCATAGTCTTGATAAAGATTCAATATAGATGATATAGAACATACCAATCACCAATCTAACACGATCAGTTTGTTTTACGGAACCAACCCTCCAAAGAAAAAAACACATCTCACATAAATGCCATGTTGACTCAGCCTCGAGTATAGCACCTCTTCCGGGCATCAGGTTTTCTAGAGTCTCTCAGGTCGTCCCTGGAAAAGTCAAAAGTCTGTTCAAATGTATCTTGTAATTATCTAATTAAGGGTTTGTTTAATCTATCTATCTATCTATCTATCTCTATCTCTTTATCTACGGTATATCTATATATATATAAATTATACATTGGATTCATGGGTTAGTCAAAATTGTATTTTACTATTTGTATCCCTAACCCCGCGCATGTTTTTGAACGCGTCAACTAGCAGTTTTAGGGATACTGTGGCGGTCAAGTTAGCGATTCAACAAATACATGCGCACACACACAAATAACACACATACATTTAATACATGCCATCTACAATATTACAGATTACCCGCGTGTGCATGTCAATTTGAGAAAGCAATAAATTCAATAAACATCAGCAGCCGAAGACAACCCAAAGCTGTCACATGCCGTGATTTTCCAGGGCTCGTCGCTTCAGAACCTCTTTCTTCAAGTCCAGAGCCTCTTCATGTCGGCCCAAGTGGCCCAATGTGATGGCCAAGTTGTCCTGGAAACTGGGAATCTTCTTGGAGCCATGAAAACTAGTCCTATCCCCTGGTGGGTAAATAGGTCCCCAACAAGGCTCCTATACTAAGCGGTCAACTGTTAATTTTACGCAAAGGTATGCATTACAGGTCCCACTTTCAAAAAATGCTTGGAACATATGTGGTATATCATCAACATAGTACCGTTCCTGCATTTATACGTTTGATATCGTTTGATAAATCTATTTTGAATGACACAGGTGTTTGCGAATAGTTGGTTTACAGGCATAACTTTGTTCATTTGTTCAGGGATCACCGGATGTGTTTTCACCATGACAAGATCGACCAAATGGGAATGAAGAATAAGACTCAACGTCTCATCATTTGGGAACCCAATTAGCATCAATCTATATATGATTATATATGTTGAAACGACGTCAGTTTTTCTAAATGTGTAGCAAAACTAACACACGTGTCCAACATGGACGTTAGCTCTGGACCGCTCCCTCCAGTCATCGGATAGTACAACAAGGGGTTTGTCTGAAAATAAGGCATAAGTATAGGCATATCACGGCATACCTCAAAATCCATTGCTTCGTCATCATTTTCTATATTGAAAGTACATAAAAGTACCATAAATATATTATATAAATATCCATAAATGCGTCGGCTTTCAGACAAACCCAATGTGGATGAACAAATCCCACCAGGATGGAAGATTTCCCACCTGCGCCCAAAGAGTGTTGGGATGATTGGCTCCCATGGTCTCCTGAGCCGCAAAACTACGCATTTTTGTCCAAACTACGCCAGTTTTCATCGAAAATCTCACCTAAATTTCACCGTAAAACGAAGCTTATCTCAATTCTATAATTCTTATATCTGTCTTTTGCTTGATCTACCAGAATCTACCATTATCTAAGGGTACACCATGATCTACCTATCTATACTATATGTGCATTTTGGATGGCTCGGGGTAAAGGTCAATGAACAATAATCACACCATCCATCTGAAATTTGTGGGCCTGACAGTTGGCAACACTATCCTGGCTACCTGGCGGATAATGATTCAATGATAAGAATTGATATTACAACACTACCCATCACTCTCCTACGTTGAAATTAGCTAATGGAACCAACAACACAGACGTTTCCCAAGTTTGGGAAGCTTCAAATTCCATCGATTGCGAAGATTGAAAATACGAGCAGCTCTTGGTTCATCGTTTTTGGTACCCACGCCTATGCATCTTGAATTCTGGCGGTTCTACTTGCGTGTCTATATAGGTTGACAACATGCAAAGAGCCCTCACAAAGTGACACCCACAGTTTGCCAAGTTAGCATACGATGCTTACAAGTAGCTTATATAGATCGGGTTAAAAAGGTAGATCTGCAATTGATTGGATGGTTGGAACTACTGTAAACGAATTTGTATATAATTGATTTTTTAATTGCTGGGTTACGCATGTTTATTGAGTGTCTTGTTAAACCTTGGGAATCCGCTCATCTGCGTACTTAACATGAAAATCCCGTGTTTTTCCCTAAAATCAAGCAACAGGTTCCGCGCTTTCCCTTAAAAAAAGCTGGGGAGGACCAGCGAAAATCACCTGGCCCTAAGTCATCCAATGGGTCCAAGCCGCAAGGCTGGCTTTGACCAACTTCTCCTCCACCGCCAGAGCTTCGGCATAGTACCCCACATCCGTCAAGGTCTTGGCCAAGGAACTTTGAGACCTGCAGGGCCCTGCTCAATTTTTGGGTCAACTTACTTCATGGGCATTTAAGGTTAGGATATATTAGGATTGGCATTTGTAATCCAAGTAGAAAGTGCCCGAAACACTGATGATACAGATCCATCTTCAGCATCATTTCCGAGGCTCAGCGAGGTCGGTAAAATACCACCAAGTCACCACAGCGTGTACGGATGGTTGGGCTCGAATTCCTCCTCGGATATGCGAAAAAGGAAATGGCCATGTCACAGTGCAGTACTCATGATATGGAATAAATCAGGTCACACATGTTCTTAAACCAGGATGAATAAATAAAGGAACCCAAATCAACCATGTTTTGATATGTTTTGCGGTGCTTAATGGCTTTCATTCAAAATCTGGGTGTATGTCGGCCCACGTGGCTTTCCTTGAAGGCTTGAAAAAAACACGTGGAGTTTCTCAGCACCCGCTTAAGGTGATCCTTGGTGGAAACCATTCTCCAGAAAAATGGGGGTTTCCTGAAATAGAGGTAGCCCTAAATTTAAATCATTCATTTTAGATCATTTTGATCGGCTTTTCCATGATTTTTATCAACCAGAAGTTCCGGGCCTAAAAAGGAAACCTCTGGCTATGGTTTAACCGCGTTTTTTTTGCAACGAAACAACAACACCGCAAAAAGCACGAGAAACACATCTCGTCTGTACCACCTTTCGCTTCAGCTGGAGGGCCTGACACACCGACGGGATCCATAGGGATCCCGATGAACCGACGCCTGAATAGTTCGGCCATTTGGGGATGGTTTCCCCCTTATTAATCCCTATAAAAACCATGATTCCAGCGCGGAGAACAGGGTTTGGTCGTTATAAAGACCCAGATAAATATAATTAAATGTTATGTATTATTATATAATATCCATTGGTTAGTCGCTATAGTATCTAAAAAAATGATATTCTATTGCTGGAGCTCATTTGCTATTGGTATAATTTGGGTAAAACAATGATAATAAATCACCCATGACTGGGAACGGTAACCATACCATGGTTTACGGCATTGTTTTACCTACATTGTAAGATACCCTCTGGTTATGACTAACAGTTGGCCATGGTATATGTAGTTTGTGTCCATTTATAGCAAATTATAGATGACAAACATGATGATTTACCAATCAAAAATAGTGATTGTCCATATAGCTACGTTAAATAACCAAAGGATCAACTATTGATGACTAAAAAGAAATCGGTAAACTCGTTCTGAAACTATATGGCGAAAATTGGCGAAACCACAGGGCCACCATGGCCACCATGGCCACCTCCTCATGTTTGCCCACGCGACTCAAAGCCATGGCCAGGTTGTCTTGAAACCACAGGGCATCGGGCGAATCTCTATGGCCGCCTCAGACCCGAGACGTCCCGAGATGTCCCGAGCCATTCGATCCAGGGACCTGGGGGCCTTGCATTGTTTCGGGCACCTATTTATATATCTGTTGCTGCGAATGTTCCAATTATAATTTGGGAAGAAACTATAATATATATATATATATATTCATATATTCATATGTATTCCGATATCCTTGACACTTCTTGATGTATTTGCTACTTGAATGCTCCTGGTTAGTTCATAGAATGATATAGAATGTGAAAGGTTGGAAAACAATCAAACAATTGATAATCTCCTCTCGTTCTATCATGTTCAAGCCCGACCAGCAAGCGTTGTTTAAGGTCGACTACACTAAAGATGCAAAAGATGCGTCTGGATATGGACAATAATAATTAAGAATATGCCATGTATATTCCCAAAAAAAAACAAATGGAAAAGGAAACAATTATGTAACCAAATCGTTATCATTATATAGCGCTCTTAGGTCCCAAGGTTGTTTCATTGTCAAATGTTCGCTCCCGCAAGCAGATAGGTTTCAAGTCTGGATGCAAAAACAAAAAGGTTGAGACCCATGCTTTTGATCGGATACTTCAAGGCTTTCTGAACTGGATCCCTCCTTTCCTTGTTGGGGATGCCTCTTCAACTCACTGAACGAGGGTGCTGGGAGCCAAAAAAAACTAGAGAAAGCTTAAAAAAGCTAGACAATAGCACTCAAGCAAGTCAAGGAAAAGCTCTTGGAGGGAGTGCCCCTTCGGCGGCCCACAAGTGTTTTTTTAAGCCTTTTTTAGCTTTGTTTAGCTTTTTCTAGCATTGTTGTTGTTTTTTTTTTAAGTTTTTTTTTTCTAGCCTTTTTTAGGTTTGTTTAACTTTTGTTAGCATGTTTCAGCTTTTTGTAGTTGTTCTAGTTAGTTTCTTTCAGTTTTTCTGAATGTTCTTTGGTTTTCAAGCTTTTGTAGCTTTAATATGTTCTCTGAATTCTAATTTTCCTTCGGCATTCCCTGTTTCTTCTGTAGATTTTGAATTGATTGTATAGAGTGCCAGTGGTGAGATCTCCAAAAAGAACCAAATATCACGCAGAATAGGATTGGATTTTTCTAGCATTTTGTAGTTTTTGTTTGGATTCCTTCAACTTCTTGTCGGGTTCTCCTGGGATTCCTTTAGCATTTTCCAGCTCCAAATTGTTTGAAGCGCCACCTCTTGAAGAGGCATGCCATATGATCCTATGAACACAGTTTTTTAAGGGCAGACACCGGCCCCGTGGATGTGGCGTAAGTTGGTCAATAAAACAAGGAAGACTCATGAAATGATACAAACTTAATACACACATGTCCATAAATCTGGGTAAATCATGATACTTCACTAACCTGAATTAAGGCCATTTGAGGATGATTTCCCTATAAAAACCATGATTCCAGGGCTCGGGAGAACAGGGTTTGGTCGTGATCGAATTTACCCAGATAAATGCCCCCAAGCAAAAAGACATGGAATTCACCATCCAAATGGGACCACCAGGGGTGTTTCATCTTCGTGGGAATTTCTTGGGAGCTGCTTAGGCCCTAAAGAGGTGATTGGTTTCTCCGTTTCTGAAGGATGTTCCACCGGAAGAAAATATGTCTGGAAAAAAACAACACGCGACCACGCAAACCCAGGACTGTTAAGCATTTCTACCATTTGCTACCATTATTCAAACTCATAATCGTACGCATTAACCACTACTAAGCACTATTTTCTTCAAAACCGGGAAGGGTAATCATTGCACACATTACAATAGCTCATATTACCCAATATGTTTATTACCCAGTAAACACATCCCGCCATCCCCATTCAATGCTCCTAAATATGTGTAAATCCCTGGCGGGCGTTTAATATATATATATATATTTATTTATTTATTTATTTAATTAGCTGGGATAAATGATTAACACTGCCAACTATATTCCCGATCACATTTCCCACGATGGTCAATATCCCAGGAACATCCGTCAAAATACCTACAAAACATTACAGTAAATCCAGGTCCATATCCCATCAATATCCATTAACAATCATGTCCTTTTGGTAAAATAGAGGGGCCGGGAGCTGGTTAATCCCATCATCATTTACCTGTTAAAGATTGTTATTTCGGGGTTTCTCCAAACCCCGATCTATTAACCAACCACAACCACGAGGATTTTCAGCACCATCCCCGTGCTTTTTCAGCGGGGGATCCCAAGGATCCCAGGCGCATTCTTTCACCACCTGCTCCAGGATCTCCACGGCCCTGACGTGCTGATCCAGCTTGCTCAAGGTGTGGGCAAGGCGACTTCGCGCGTTCAAACCTCAGCGAACGAAGATCCCCCTGCTGGCGATAGCGTTGGTGAACATAGAAAAGTGGGAAACCTGAAAATATTGAAGGCAACATCATCGAACTAGTATCCTGGAACTTTTCTATCTTTGCGGCTTGCCATGTCAATGATTACCTATCCGGGAATCCTGGAGTAAAGTTTTCTTTGTTTTTTTTCGGATAGTTACCCCACTCGCAACCATCATTCCAGTGACGTTGCGATGCCATACGAGCTTGCAATCCTTGCAATCGGATGCCCTGAGACCATCCCATTTCTGGACAGGTTGAAAAAGAAAACGGTGAAAAAAAACAACCAAATCTATATAAAATGTAGGTAAAACAATGCCGTTTGCACCATCCCCCAGTCATCACCATAAATAGGTTGGTGGTGCAATAACCATCTTGAAAAATATGAGTTCGTCAGTTGGGATGATGACATTCCTATATATTATGAAAAAAAAACATGTTTGAAACCACCAACCAGCCATAAACAGGTGGTATAAATTATTCCCAAATGGGTGGTTTATGACATTGTTTTACCCACACTACTAAAATTCCTGCCCCAGACACTAGTTTGGAGATCCTGAGGGGCAGGCGACGGTGTAACGTTCAAATCAATGGTGTCCATTGGATGTCGGACAAATACTCTGGTCCCCCGAAGATTAAACACCACCAAGAAACAATAGTTTCATGGTGATTTGCGCATATCTGGGATCGTTTAAGCGGTGTTTAATATTCGGGATGGGAGAGGGGGGCTGGATCGGGACACCATTTATCACAGGTCCTTCGATGAGGGTGACCCCTCTATGACTCTACTGATCAGCCAGCCAGTGGGAAAAGTTCTTTGATCAAAAAGATTGCCCATAGTTGACCCACTTATCACTAACCCTACTTACCCTACTAATCCCTACTATTAACTGTGGTTACAGGCCACTATGTGGGGAAAGCCACGTACCATTTTAAGCCTTGGCCCAAGGCTCATCCGACTTTGTACAGATGGCCGCAACAGCTTCCCGATGACTCACCTCTTCCAAATGCCTGCCCTGCTGGTACAAGGCGTCCGCCAGCTTGCTTTGACTCTGCAGCGTCCAAGGGTTATCGGGCAAAAAAGCGCTGAGGATGTAGTATTGAACACCTGGGCTGCGAGGTCAGATTGCAGACGATTGGGTGTATAAAGAAAGAACGCCTCCGGAAACATGGTGTAACAACCCAAACATCTCGGAAAAATTGGGTTAACCATACCGAGGTTTAAGAACCCAAGAAAATCTAAACATTTGGGTTTGACTAGCACAACATAAAATATGGTTTAAATAAGTTTAATCACCAAACAGTCTTAATGTCCGAGCATGGGGGCCAACTATCAATGCCTTTTTTTTGGTGGGGTAGTAGGTTTCGCCTCGTTAAAATGGCTGGATCATCTGGATCCTAGTTATACTACACTAGTACTATCATAACCTTGATGAATGGTAAATTAGAAAGTTCATTGTGTATCATGTTGCATGGGAAAATGTACTTCAAACAGCTTTAGACCATAATAATCCATACCCTCTGGTAACCTAACATAGCTATTGAAAATGAACATTTAGTTCGTTGATTTATCTACTATTAAAATTTCGACGTTCCATAGTTCGGTTACTTTACCAGGGGCTGTATCGCCATTGTCCAGTATTCATCCATTATTGTTGGTTGTTTCACCATTATTAACCCATTATGAACCATTAAGAATTATGAACCATTTTCGACAACTATTAACCGTTGACAACCACGGGCTAGTTGTTATTAACCAAAATTATAATCATTATTGTTAGCAACCATTATTATCCACTATTAACCACTATGATCCACTATTAACCGCTCTTTCAACTTCTTTCAACAATTATTAATCCTCATGATTACCCCAAGGTTGAGCTGCTGGACGACCGTAAAACACCACGTTTCATGGCATGCCATGGCTATGGCTAGGCGCGGTAGTAGAACTCCTTTGCCTCGAAGGCTTCACCGTAGCGGTCCTCGTTCTCCAAGACCATGGCGCGCAAGACCACGCAGGCCAGGATCTTCATGCAGCTTAAGGCGATGAAGAGAACCTGGAACCGGTTGTTTTCCTTCAATGCTTGTTTCACAAAATGGGCATGAGAACATGGTGTACCAATTTCCAATACCCCAAACTCTGGTCCAAACAATCAATGTGGGGATTGATGCCCAAAAAAAAGTGGGGATAGTCAGAAGGTTGAGGATCGACAGTCTATTGAGGCAAAGAGAAGCTGCCAATGCATCAAGGAATTGGATGCATGGGGACAGCATCCCCCCCGTCCTTTTGGTCTCTCCTTGGTGATTGGGAATGTGAGTGATGTATTCTCAAGCAAATCCACCGAAGCTCCTTCATAATATCCCACCAGGACAATGGAGATAATCTTTATTCGGAACATTGAAAAAAATGGGGGGAAGTATGTCATAGCAGGTATAGTCACGGAAGCTAGGCTAGTATCTTGTCGTTTTTTGGTGGTTCTCCGCCAGATTGATCCAGAGGGTACGGTTACTATCAAACAATTTGTTATCGTTGTACGCCATGCATCCCTACCATTCTTGCTTGTCTTCCCGATCTGTGCCCCGCCAGGCCTGGGTTCTGGATCCGCCATAGATTGCCACCTTGGTGCCCGGCCCGTTGCCTCCCATTTTTTCAAAGACTAAATATAATATTGTGTATCTACACATAGATGCATGTAGATATAACTACCAAACAATAAACATATAGACATATCGATTAAAAACTCATTACACACACATAAATACATATATGCACACACACACACATATATATATATATATAAACGTATAAACGTATATCGTATTGTATACTTGCATATAGATCTGTATAAGATAAATAATCCAACAGTGAAATAATGAACCATTAGTGAAACAATACGCAACTTAGCTAACAAACTGGGTGACACCACCGACCCTAGAGGATTGGATTGTTTCTGAAAGCTGACGAGAAGTTTTCACAGGAAGAAGGGGAAACCATGGGAAACCAAGATTTTGAGCCAGCCGTATATGCTTTTTGTCACTGAATCCCCAGGAAATTGCAAGTCACCTTCCCCCCCCCTCGCCGAAAGCGCTCCAAGCTGCGAACAGGGATTGCACGCACGCCTGCGGCAGGTCCTCGGTCAAGGCCATCGCCAGCTTCACCGGCGCAGTGTTCCGCGCCAGGAAACTCTCCTTGCGCTGCGCGAGGCAGAGCTGTTTCACCGGAGTCAGCATCCAGGCCAGGTCCTTTGGGTACTGATGGCGCCTTGCTGAGCCAAGGGACATTGCAAGGGAAAATATGTGGCTGCGAGCTGGAGGTTCTGGAATCAATTATATCCATCTATATCCTAGTTTTTCTGAACTGGGATGTGGATGTATTGGAGAACAGGGATGAGTTTCATGAGGTGGGGTAGCAAAACTATACTTCAAGTAATTACTTCACGCAAAGGGAGATAGAGGGATAGTGGAAACATATATGGAACACACTGCATGTACCAAAAAGAATGAGTACAGCAATGAGTTTCTCTCTATATGCCGGGTGACAAGAGATCCAAAAACCTGATGAATCCATCTACAAGTCGCATGTGGATGTTGGAACCCAAAAGGATCCCCATGGCAATGGCTGCAAAGACAAAACTCAGGCACGTCCTGCGCGAAAGAGCCAAGCCAACAAAAAGCCAATCCTTAAAAATATCCAGCGGTTCGCCCGTCACGGGAAGCACAGGAAGCACAATGGGCCCTACAAAGTAAGGCACCTTGGCTTTGCCGTTAAAGGGAACGATGAGAAACAATGAACAGTGGAGTCCCCAAAAGGGGGTTGAGTGAAATTCCCCAGGTTTGCCATCATTTTGCTCATGAATGCTGCCACAAAATGGGGTATCTCAAACTTTTGGTTCAAACCCACATGGTGAATAAACCGAACTATGGAAATAAATGATATTCCATCAAATGCGTAGTCCAATTTTAAAAAAGTAATCCAAAAACGTATGCTATGCGCTTCAGGATGACTACCCTCCGATAATCAAACATTGCAATTGAGAACCCTACATTTATGGATGATTTTCCCAGATATAAACCTATATTTGATTTTGAGTTTTTTTGATTGCGGGACGGTGGAGATAAACACGCAACAAAAAAAAAGTATCTCAGCCGTGGCACGGGAGCATAGCTCGGCATGGTGCAGGTCATGTACATCGCCTGAATTACTGAACCACTCAGCTGCGCTGTAAACCAAAGGACATAGACTTCCCAGCAGACACCTGCTTGCATATCCTTGGATTTGCTCAAAGTGCCCCAAAAAAAAACATTCTATATATATATACTATTATATACTACTTACAAAGTATAGTGATATGATATATAACTGCTTTAAATACCAAAATTATTGTCGAGTCCTGGAATTTCATACCATTCCCTATGTATCCTATGGCCATTTTGGGAGCAGCCCGTTGTTCAAACACCGTCCGGGTCTCCATCCGATCGCCGATGGCGCTGGAAATGGCCAAGCTGGCACTGAAAACGTGGAACCACAAGTGGAGCCACAACGGCACATGATACTCCGACAGGGTATCATCTTCACTGCTCTCTTCACCTTGAAGGCTAGGAAGCTGTGGCGATGGGTGAAGATACCTATCCATTCACTGCTATCCCTGGAAGCTTGGGGATCAATGGATGAATAATGGATGAATGATGGATGATGATGATGATGATGATGACGATGATGATGATGATTCATGGTAAATGATGGATCTATCTTCACCTTGGACTGAAGAAGGCATCATTGAACATGTGCCCGCCTGGAACCTCTACATGGGGTTAAAGCATGATATGTGGATGAAAAGGAGTGTCCGAATCGGGTTCTTCATCATCATCATCATCAGCAGCAGCAGCATTATCAGCATCATCATCATCATCATCATCATGATCATATTCACAAGCAGCTGCCCTGACAAATGATGTTCATTCATTTTCAGGGCTTCAACGATATCAATGGGTTACCCCCTGACAATCAAACTAGCAATGGACAATCCCCCATTTATAGATGTTTTTTTACCCAGCTACAAACATCAATTTCATGGTGGATTTCCATTGCCATGTTTGATTATCGGAGGGTATATCATATTCAATCCTTATTATATCCCTATGATGGTTGATATATCCCCACTATATTCCATTGCATTCCTATTAGTTTCCAATAATAGCCACTAGTAAACTTTACGGGGTGCGAATTATTAATTAACGCACTGGTCGATGTTCGTTTATGCTTCGAGGTGGTTGAGGGTGCTAAATGAGATGACCATCCAACCCCAAGTAGCACCGGAGCTGTGTCCCAATTTCATGAAGGGAAAATGGTCATTAATACGTTTTATTGTATCCTTTTGCACTATCTTGTCATTATATTGAGGGCACTAAAACTCATGCGTACAACCACACATGTTCCCTTACATCCATCCAGGGCATGGTACAGGGTCCTCAAATGTTCGCATCACCCAACTAAAAACGGAGATATCATCTGCAACAAGTAGTTGAACATCTTGAAAATCCCCAGAAAGTTTACATCAATCCCAGCCCTGTCCATCAAGCCACTCAAATCGACCAGCTGATACTCCCTGGAGCTTCGCGAGCTTCGCTCCGCCAGCGCCGGTGCCACATCGACCCAACGCAACCGCCAGCCTCGGCCAACAAGTGTCACCATGGTGCCGGCCACACAGGCCCCAAGCGTCAGCCACAAGAGCCTGAGGCACGTCACCATGGCGCGGCAGACATCCGAAAAACTGCCCCTACACACAAATATATATATATATATATACATAGAGAGAGAGAGGGAGAGAGAGAGAAAGAACTATATGTAAATATCTAATAATATCTATATAAACATACCCTATATTTGTGCATATGCACTATATGTGCACTATGTGTATATATATATATACCTCTGTGTGTGCATACATATCCATAAACAGCGGATGCCCAATCTCAAACAGCTGATACCAATCAACTCCAGGGATGGTTTATGCACTATATAGTTGCTTGTGAAGAGGCATACTACCAGCGTCCACAAGTACCCTGTATAGATAGATAGATATATATATATATTGATTTGCCAAGCCATAAGCCAATGATTGTTGTGTGGTGGTTTGTGTTCCTGGAAATCCACTCTCTGAAAGACATTGTCAGGATGAGTTCCAAACAGCCATGCTCACAACCCAGCATCCACAACCACCTATCAACACCAAGCCAACCCAGAAGCAAAGATAAATAGTATTCCATCCTCTGAGTCTTTTCCTTCTCGGGCAAGTCGATTCCAGCATGAAGAGGAAAGAACGACTCAGGAAAGCCAATGGTGTGAATGTAGGTGCACTGCATCACCTTCACCCGGCAACCATTGCAAGGCCATGAAGAAGTATTTTGCAACGTCCATCTGTTGGGCATCCACCACAACCAAAAAAGGAACTGCACACGGAGATTGGTTGGCGATTTACCTCATCCCAAGTGGTAAATTCAAGATCATTACCTTGTTTTATGGATATATTCAATCATTTTCTACATATCCCAGATGCTCCATGTATGGAATTCTTCCCTACATTTACCCCAAGATAGCCCAATTTGTGTTGGTAAACGCTCCTTCCACGGAGCCGATGAGGTGTGAAACACTCCATCTGACCTGATGCCAATCCTCCGGCAGAAAGACGTGCCAGTGCGTGTCTGCTGGGAGTTGGGTCATGGCAGCTTTGGACATGCTCCAGCCCACCAGCAGTGATACCTTGCAGCTGTTCGAAGCTTGGAACTGCCAGGGCTGTAGGAGACATATCCAGGCCATATCGCTATATCTTTAAAGGCAAACATGGCCATGGCTATGAGTCAAAACCCTGGCATCCTGGTAGAAAAATCATAGGTTTTAACCCATTCCGGCCCATGCCCCATCGAATCTTTCAAGTCCCAGAAATCTCCAGAAATCTCAAGGATGGAACTCCGCTGTGGCCAATCTTGAAATTCCTGCATCAGCCTATACTTGCGGCCATTTGGAGATGATTTCCCCGATCAGAAGCATCATTCCATAACGTCGCGACGTGAGGTTATAATCAAATTCATCCAAATATTCTCCCATATCACTATCTCATCATTCTTCCTTGGCATCCTCATATACCCATGACCCATGATATGATATGCCCATTATATGGCCCATTGCCCCAAAAAAAAACCTCATTCCATGCCCATCTCTCATTCGATCTGCCAGCGCAGCGCCACCAGCGCCAAGATGCCATCAGTTCTGCTAACAACACCAGCTTTTTACCTTGATTCAACTTTTTGGGAACCTCGGAGGTTCCGCGGAAAGTGGTGGTTTCGTTGTTCGATTTCTCGAGGGGAAAATTCCATCCGAAAAAAATGCTGGTACTGTAGCATATAAAGCCATAGAACTTGGGGGGTAAGTTCCCTGAAATTTAGCTATTACATAGGCCTTATTGGATATGGTAGGTACCTCCAATTTAGGTACCTGAAATGGCTATCGATCACATATCAACTTCAACCTTTTACATGTTCTTGTCAAGAAAAAGAAGTCCTTGAAAACTGCAGCACTGACGCGCGGATTCTCAAGTAGCACTGACAGCGTTTAAGTTCTTTAAGAAAAAATATCATGGATTTTCAAATGGCTGCAGTGGCTGCGGAACCCTCTCTCAGCCAAAACAAAACTGCAAGGATTGCCGAAGAAAACGGTGGCCATGCAGGGAGGTGCCCCGGTTTGTTAGCCAAGCCAGTTCGTGTCACCAATCACTAATAATTTCCTATAGAGCTTATAAGGATGTGTATGGCAACTAAAGATACATACACCTATGTAATTGTCCTATATAACTTATAACATTGCATATAATTAACATTTTATAACTATTTAGCTAATGGGGCTTTCATCGTTGTTTCTACATTCATTTCAATTTATAAACCAACAGGCGAATCACCCTGGGGCAGCAGGTCCACCAAATCCACCAAGAAGCGATGTCAAAGCCCACCGTGGCTGTTAGAAACAATAAAGCCACAAAGGTGCAACCCGAAATCATCAGACCGACCTCAGCAAAACTCGGGTCAGCAGCAGCTAGGACATGCTAGGACCATAAAAAAATGTTTTTTGTGGTCAGTAAATAGGGGTTATAACATGTTATAACTGTAAATCCCCCAGCTACACGGCAGTGCCCCCAGTTTAAGTTGGTTTATAAACCCTATCAGCAATAGATAAATCATGATATACCTACCATAAAACATAGTTGTCGGAGTTATAAACCAACTTAGCTATCTAGGGGGCACCACCTTGTAGTGGACTTATTGACAAGGTTCTTCACCAGTTACTAAGTGGGATGATCTTCATAGGCTCTGTTGATAGCTTGGAAAATTCGCTTCAGATGACCATCCCAATCAATGCCTGAAACATCCTGAAACACTCCAAACACGGAGAGAACAAACGAATGGACTGCTTGGATGATTTGGATGCGCACCAGGTGGAGACCATACAACCCAGTTCATGGCTGAGCCACTTACTTCCAAGCCCTCAGGATCCCGAACCCAATTGGAGGTTGGTTATTGGGCTTTACCATGGTTTTACCATGGTTTTACCAAAGTGCCAGTCCTGTTCCAAACGCAAACATGACATCAGTCTTCACAGTCTTCACAAGTCAAATGCGAACCTCTGGAAGAATCCGTGCCAAAGTGGCGATCGTCCTGGTAATTGACACTGCTTCTTGCCAATTACCGCTGCAACTCGGTTTTCGAAACAGGTTGATGATGGATGGCATCTGCGACAGCGTCCTCAAGATCGATGGCGCGGGACCCAGCAGCTCAAAAACATTTGTCTGAAGGGGAAAACCCAAAGCCCAAAGTGTCATTGCTTGAACATGTTTGAAACCTCATTTTCCCCATGATCTCCTTTGCATTAAACATGGTGCTCTAACTCGCAGCGACTTTCGCCGGTGATTCGGTGCTGGAGGACCAAAAAAACAACAGTTCGTTTCTTACTTATACTGACTCAGCAGGGCAGCTTTAGTCAGTTAGCTAGTTTCTTAGTTAGCTAGTTGATTGGCGAATCAATTTAAAAAGTTCGTAAAGTGAAAATGCACTGTTCCAAGCAAATTCGCCAAATGGTGATTCCCATTGGGAAAATCTTAATTTTCACGGACTACCCATCCGGTAATCAGACATGGGCGTGCTGGAAAAATCACCATTGATAGATAGATGACGTTCCCATTATTATATAGAATCTCTATGTAAAGGTGATCTTTTCCATGAAAAAACGTCCATGTAATTACAAGGAGTTGTCCTATTCAAATCATTAAAAACCTCCATGTACAGTATAAGGGATTTTCCAAATGAAAGTGAAGAAACCAACTAAAACGGAAACCACTGAAGAGCTTAGCTTCTCGTGACCGTTCGCCCAGGCAAGCCGTCTTGGCTCATCATGTTCCACGCTGAAACGCCAAAACAAACAGCAACAAAGGACCGCTGACAGTACCACACCTGAGCAATGCCCCGCCCGCTCTGGACGTGAATGGTTCATGGCTCATGGTCATTCCAGCGTCATGAGTGGGTTTTCTTGCGATGGGTACAACAATTTTCTACATGTAAATCCCTCTTAATGGATTGATGTATAATCCATGATATGTGTACAGGGGGGTAAATCCCCTAAGAAACACCCCCAAACAATGGCAACACCTGGCAACACCGGAGGTTGATGCCTTGAATGTTTCGGCTTTTCTCTTTGGCCATGCATATGGGGCCCTAAGTCATGACCAGATTCAAGGCCCTAAACCAGGGTGTTGAAGGATGTGAAAATAAGGAAAGTCATTTGTTTGCATAGGGGTCCTTACATTTCTTGAAAATTGATTAAGGTGTGAAATATTGAGGAGAGGTGATGTTTTCCTCTGTTGGTAGGGAAACAAGCGGGCTGTAATCCCTAACCTCGAGTTGTCTGTCTTCAATATGTGTTTATACGGTATACGTTTTGTATCGTTTTGTGGTGCCTGTGTTGTTTGATTGTCAAATCAAATACGTTGATCCCTGGAAATTCAAGTCCCAGATAGCAGCAGAAGTTCCTGTTTTCTTGGTGGTTCCACTGTTTTTTTTGTTCCAGCTCGCAACCCCAAGTCATTTCCCATAACAGAGGGTATATTCCAGTCATACTTTTATTCATCCATGATTGTTGGTTGTTTCCCACTACTAATCACTAAAAACTATGAACCATTATTCATGAGGTTCAAAACCATAGGTTTTCCATATTCAACAACCACTATTTATCACTATTAACAACCACTTTTCATGAGGTTAACAACCACTTACCGCTATTTTTTGGTACCAGGGTAACCACCATCCAGGGCCATAGCAGAAGCCACGTATTCGTGGTCTCATCCCCAGCTAGCGCCGGCAGCCGCCATTTGCGGCAAGGCTTGGGTGGCGCACATGGAATCTGGCGCCGGAACCCAAACTAACCAAAAACAAAGGAGACATTGCTGGTTTGATTCCACAGAAACATGATAGAAATGCAAACGTTTATTGATCATTAAATCTGGGAGCTCCTGCAAGTCTCAGGTTCATATCAAAAAACATGCTGCATCTTGTGAGATTGTGCATGCCTCCAGGATCCTTCAACCGTCTTGTTTGTCTACCGTTTGTATGGGTGAAATCATTCACATCACCATGAAAACCATGGTTTTATACAACCATCTACCACTTTGCGCGGCCAACATCTGTGCCAACTTGACATGAAGAAAGATGCTCCGTTGTTGGCTGGAGCCTGGAAAATTTGCCAAACAACGCCCGGGTCTTGGCAGACTTCCTTGCGGGGTGGGTACAGCATCCAGCTTAGCAAACATGATTCTGACTGAGATTCGCTAAATGTGGCTTTGAAAGGCATCGCGAATTGGATTTTGCGTTATCTGCAATACCAGGAATTTAAGGACACGCACGACTGTACTGTGTCCAACGTCGAGAATAGAATGCAGATAGTGCAGGACTGTCCTGTGTCGAACGTCGAGAATTACACTACCTTACATTACATGCATTACTTACTTGCCTACTTACTCACTTACTTACTGACTTCTTGACTTACTTTCTAACTTTCATACATTACACTACACTACACTACACTTACACTACATTACATTATATTACATTAATACATACATATCTATACATATCTTCAAAGCATTCTACCCAGCATCCCTCGCCATCCCTCACCTTGCTGGCAGCCAAAGCCTGCACGACACTCACCATGGGAGGCCCCTAAAAGTGTGCAACCGGGATGTGAACATCTGTGAACTGGATCTTATATATATATATGTACTTCATATTTCCAGGTGTCCCACGCTTCTATCTATTTTGGGATCGCTATTTATATATGGATATAGATATAGATATTGATATTGATATATATAATAGATATTGAAATAGATATAGATATAGATATAGATAGTGTGCTTATCTATGATACATCAATCTATACAAAACAAAACTATACATAGACTTAGACCCTCCAAAGTACCTATTATGACAGTAGCTTAATGCGTTACATTACTTTAATGCGTTACATTACCACATGTTCAGTGTACTTGGAGGGTCTAGCTATACGTACAACCTTTTCCCATTTTATTGAATATGTTTTGAAATTCCCATGTCTAACTACCCCAGGACCCCAGGGTGACTATAGCCAACAAAACGCCTTATTCTTGAGTATGAGCATGAATCACCAAAGCATCTGTCTGGCCAGTCTGTCTATTATCCCATTCAACAATCTTGGCGAACGAAAGAGCCAGCCTGTCTTGATGTTGATCATCGTTTATTTAGTGGTGGAAAAGGGGTGAACACCCCTCTTAATTTACCAACCTGTAAGAATCTCCCAGTTATGGCAAAAACTAAGGCGTTATTACATACCATTAACCATTAACCTACCAAACAAAGCTTGCCCAAGTATCTTGTCATCACCATGTCAGGCTTCTACCCCGGGACTTGAGACCCACCAAGCAATCACAGCATATGAAACCATGGTACAGTAATGGCCCTATTCTGGCGCCCATACAGGGGGCGTTTGACATCGACCAACTCAGCCAACACACTATATCACCATGATATTCATCTCAACTGGTGGTTTCTCAAAATAGACCCCTCCCTAAATAAATAAATATATATATATATATTTGTTTATTTATTTACTAACCTGAATTAAGGCCATTTGGGTATGATGTCCCTTATTAACCATGATTAGTGAGGTCGCAGTGAGATCGTTATAATTTACCCATATATATATATATATATATGTGTGTGTGTGTTTTTCTGGTTTAAACCCGCCATTTTGAAGCTGTGTAGTTGGTGATTTTTCCAGCTCCTACTGGTCAATCTTCGATAGTCCACAAAAAATGGTCGTCGTTGCTGGTTGGCTGGTGATCTTCCATCAAAAAAAACAAGGATTAATCCCATCACCCTAATATTAAACACCCCATAAATAGCAATAATGTGGAAATTCCCTATCAAGCCATGGTTTCAAAAGGGTTTAATATTAGGGGGAAGAAATTAGTTTCTACCCATCCACTTCGTTGGGGATGTCCTACTGGCTTCACCCCGAAGTGCGCGGGCCTTCTTCTGTTGGGTGTCCGTGGTCTGCTTCGCCACCTCATCCACCTCATCCTGGAACCCACCATTAGATTCCCTCAGTCCTAGTGGATTTCCCATGAAAGTTGTCTTTTTTAACATATTTTCTCAGCAAATCCAGGCTTATGGATGTTCATCCATCAAACAAATGAAAAACAGTTGCTTGAACATGTAGATCTTAATATGCTTGGGATCACCCCCGGGGGAGGAATAGAGTGGCCATAATTCACCTGTGATAGGTTGAAGAAACCCTCTGGATTTACCTGAAAGTTTGAAAGACCCAGTCGATCTGGAATCAGGTAAATCAACAGGGTTAATCCAGGATTCTCCCATACAGTATTCATCATAAATCCAGGTGTTGATTTCCGTATGTAAAAACAATTCACCATTGGCCTCGGTGGGTGAACAATTCGAAGCCACTTGGTGATGGTTTAAATATGTTTAAATCCCCATTTATGGTCAGTCCTCAAGATATGGATGTTTTGTGGCATTGGGGAGCTGGCATAGTGTATTCTTGTTGCTACACATATGGTTAGTTTCTCAATACCAAAGGCTAGTTTCCAGAAGTTGGTTGCCTATGGTTTCCTCAGATATACCCCTAAATTTTCAGGGATTGGTACATGAAAAGCCAGATTGACCAGAAAAATATTAGTCACTTTAGTCATCATCAACCCCCCATCATTAATCATTATTAACCATTGATATTAGTAGCCATTAAAGCCATATAGCCATTGGTGAACAATCATTAACCATGTTTCAACCAACGCGCGCGCGCGCGCCTTGAGCTGTCGTGCTTTGAACAAGGCGCCCATGTTGGCGCTGGCGCCTTGACGCTTGGCCAGGAGCCTCGTTGTAGTCGTTGGCTAAAGGAAATAATTATGTGGGAATTGATGATAATGGTGACTAATGGTGACTAATGGTGACTAATGGTGACTAGTGGTGACTAATGGTGACTAATGGTTAATGATGGTTAATGAATGCTATATGGCTACAATGGTTTCTAATATCAATGGTAATAGTTGTTAATGATGGGGGTTGATGATGACCAATGGTTAATAATTTTGGGAAGGTGATAGGATACGACAGGGTAAAGGACTAAGCTACGCACACAGATTGAGCTCAGCGGCGCACACGGCAAAACTCAGCCACGCACGCAGATCCAGCTCCAGCTCCAGCGCATGCAGAGCAAGCTCAGCGGTTCACACAAGCCAAGTTCAGCCACGCACACAGATCAGGCTCACCGACGCACACAGGTTAGACTCAGACATACACACAGCAGCCTCAGCCGCGCACACGCGACCACCACTCCTCTAGGGTTTACTGTGCACAAGGAAGTAAGCAAACAGGGACGACACCTTGAAGGTTTCTTGTCTGTTCGTAGAGTTTTGAGGTAATTTGCACATAAATGGGATGGGTTTCCTGGCAAGATTTGTGAGCATTTTGGGATAGTTTCCCCAACATCAAGCCACATAGCTTGAACAGCCTGTAGAATGACCTGCGATAGGTGGGTCATTCAGCCTGTTGCGCAAGTTGTATTGTGTGCATGATGCTTTCCGGCTGGTTGTCCCGTTGATGCTTCGCCACATGATTTTCCGTGGGAGATCAAGGAAGACTTCTGTGCATATTTAAATGCATCTATATCTCTCTCTCTCTCTCTCTCTCTCCACGCGCGTGCACAGACGGATTAATAATACATATATATATATATTCTATAGTCATATTATGTGGCTGTATATTCTGTTTACGCAGATGTATATATATATATATAAATAATTTAAAAAAACGCATATGTGTATTTATAAAATAATATATATAATATACTATATATATAATATTATATAAGTGTGTGTGTGACATTTCTATACGCATGTTGGCTCTTGTGCCGGGGGGCTTCTTCCACATGAGCTCCATCTCCTGAAGCCAGAGGGGGAGCCGACAGGGTCTTCCTTGACCTAGAAGACCTAGCAGGTCTGGGGGGAAGAATGTCATAAACCACCCATTTGGATGGTTGATACATGTTGATACAAGCCATACAAATGGTAAAATGATGTCAAATTGGGAAGGTTTAGGATTTCTTTGCGAGGATCTTTCAGGCATTGAAAATTGAACCCTCCAAACTTTGACCTACAATTAAAGATAATTTGGTATAGTTCCCTCATGTTTCTTGGATCTTGGATTGACAGGCTTACAGTAGCCAGAAAGTGGGGCCCCAAGTTCGAAGCAACATCGACTGGGAACGCTTCATCTTCCACGATGAGGCCACGGCACTTTTGGCCAAATCAATAATAAGATGCCCAGAGACGGGCGGTCATGAAGGATTCATTTCCCAAACAAACAGATTGAGAAAAGTCCATGGCAGGCACGGATTTCGTCCGTAGATATTTATGTTGGGCTTGCAATTTCCTATAATTTTGCTGAGTTACTTGCAGGACAAAAAACACCACTAAATCTGATCTCGAGATCTCTTAAGGCCATGAAACTGGATAAATCATAGTAATAATTCACCAAAGTGACGTCAGTTTGGCCGGGTTCCCCCAGTTCCCCCAGGCTATTCCCAAGACTCCGTCGCTGAAACGACTGTCGACTCCGTCCTCAAGAAGCACGGCAGGGTCCAAAGCTTCACCAAGGCTCGTCGTGGAACCTGCCTGTCACGAGGAAGTCACGGGGATCTCATGGGGAAACTCAGCATCCAGTGAGTGAATCTACTGGTTGATTCATGTTAGGCAATCATAAATCAAAAACCCATAGTTTGATGCTTTATACCACCCATCAAACTGGAACATTTAGGGATGGTGA